TGCAGATCGGATGGTATCTTTCGGAGGCATTTCCTGGAGGTCACCGTTGTGCTCAGCTCAGTATGCTGAGAACGGGTTCGGCCATTCCGATGATGTGATGGAAGGTATGCGATGTCAACGGCGGTGGTATTTGCAGACTACGGCAGGACCACTGAGCTGACATATGAGTCGTAGCTCAGGTGTCAAAATGCCATGTTATTGATTTTATTGCAACGTGGAATATTTGTTCAATGGACAAAGTGACGACTTGGCTATCGTCATTTGAAGTTTTCATTCATTTTGATACAAATTGTTTATTTCATTTTTTCTGATCTGATGAGTTTAGGTACATGACCTTAAAAGTTGAACTGGCACCTTAAAGTTGGATAGAAATTCCCTCCTCTTGTTTGCAGAAGCTCGCCTTTTACGAGAACTGAAACTCTTCAGGGACTGATGACATTACTGCTTAAATCAGGATCAGGTATTGTTTTCATGTAATGCCGACAGTGGATATCACCCGAATCTGTCGCACCTTCGTCTTATGTTCGGTATTTCGACGCAGCCTCAACTTCCTTTGTGTTTTGTCACATTCCACATTAGTCTTATAATCATGGCATGGGATTGGTCAAAAGATTCTCGCTGCTTCGCATCATAGCAGGAATTTAGGTGATAATTTTACAACGGCGTTGCCTTGCCTAAAGAGCGTGGACATGAAATTGATTCCAAATATGCGATAACGTTCGCTAAAGGTCGTGAGATTGTCACGAAGTGTCATGGAAACTGTGGCACTTAGCCACGCCGATTGTCAAATAATTCCGGATCTTTGCTTTGCTGCAAAATTGTAGATTCATGATTGATTTCATTCATGTGGGACATCATTGTTAAAGAAAAGAATAAAAGCGGACGAGCAGGATATTGTTTTGCTTTATGAAAATATTTGGTATGATAGACAAAAAAGATGTAGCGACAGAGATTATGATTGTTAGGGTCATTGAAACACAGATCACAGATAACACATTTGTCGTGTGAAAGTTCCCAGAAAATATGCGTCTTAAATTTTTCTTAAAAAGCTTCACTTGAGCTCACTTGAGTATTGGGTATCAAAAAGCTATACCTACACACAAAGTATGAGCAGGGATGAATGAGGAATGATAAATGAATTGTCTGGTACATATCAGCTTTCCTTTTCGTGTGCCTCACTACCTGCCTCCGTCGCGCCCAGCCTTCATAACACAAAGTGCGGACATGGGCTGGGGCACGATACCAGTTGGTCAGTAATTCTGTATTGCAGCATCACTTTCCATCCTAACTGCCACGGTGCTTGCCTGTACCAGTACCGCTCGGAGACGGCTGTCCCGAAGTGATATCAAATGATAAAGTTGGAGCTTATGCGACTATCATCTAAATTTGGAGCTTATACAGACTTTTGTCTCATTGAAGACGTTCGCTTTTCGCCATTATTGCCTAAACATGATTTACTGCGACCAAAGTTGATGCACGGTAACCAAGACCACCAAGTCTGGGCCATAGAAAAACAAATTGATTGTAACTGGATGCTTCTCCGTTCTGTGGCAATGAGATCATCTTGGTCTCAGCTTGAACGGTGCGAGAAAGGATCGCTGTATTTAATAGCAGCGCAGCTATTAGCAACTTCGTGACATATAGCAGTGGTGACATAAACGAAACGAACAGATGATAAAACTATTCAATAACCAATTAGTTAGGGACGAACTTATAACCAGGGTTGCGGAGTCGATGGATTTTAGGCGACTCCGACTCCGACTCTGGCTTCAAAAATCGACTCCGACTCCGACTCTAGCTCCAACTCCGGACATTGGTCATGAAGTTCGGATATTGAAATGCAATTTCATGTCGGAGATCTTTTTATCGTGCCTGAAGCGACAAATTGCGCGTTCCAAGGCCTCGCAGAGCAAATAAGTACTCTTTATATAGTTTAAAAAAGAACAGGTTTAGACGCAGCAGCCGTTTTCAGTTTTTTTTTCAATGTAAACGCTCGTTCAAGACAGGGGTATGCGCTTAGCTACAACAAAATCTGATTTTGAAAGGTCAACGAGCGAAATATCGTCAAGCAACCAGGTGTAGGGCATTACTTTGAGCCATACAGTGTTAACTCCGACTCCGGAGTCGGAGTTGATAAGATTTTAGCGACTCTAACTCCGACTCCGACTCCAGGCAAAAGTGCCGACCCCGACCGACTCCGACTCCGCAGTCCTGCTTATACCTAAGCGGAACCAAAGACGCACTACATACAGCGGACCCACCGTAACATTTGTTTGTCTGGTGCTGGCTGGTTCTCACAGGCCCTCTTTTGACGCCATGCCGCCTCTGTTTGATTACACTGGATTACTGGCTTATCCCCGTGACCGGAATTGTGCCGAGCTCATCAGCCATCTAATCACAAACTCACGGAGCGGTGTCGGCGTGAAAAGGTCACCGGGTCAAGATCGGAGACGTGCATATCTTTCGCGAGATCGAGAGATGTTGTGTTATCATGGATTTACCTACATTAGATCGGAAAGGATTGCGGTATCATTGATAGCGATGCACGAAGCTAAACGGTAGGTAGCTTAGACGATGCTGCAATATGTTGCGTGAAGATGCTCGTTCGTGATGTGATCTGTGTGTGGTCTGGTTGCTGGCTGTATCAAGAATGTGTGTACGGCGTGGCGTAGACAGTATTGTTTCACCACATATTGTTTAACTGTGAACTCGTGGCAGAGTTGGATATCAGTTTTCGTCCATCTCCCATTCATGAATCTGAAAGTTGAAAACCGAAAGCGTAATAAGATATTCAGCTGAATGATTGCTCGAGTGACCAACCACTATGTGATGAAGCTCTCATGGCTACAGAGGGCAGTATTGTTAGTACCAATAACAATAGTTCACTATTGTTATTGGTCGTTACCCTCATGCACGGGTAGGTATGTAGTACGCAGTGGGAACTGAGTCTGAAACGCAGTTCTATGCGCCTTCGTTTTTATTGGCTTCAATGAAAGCACACTCAACGGCTCGTAAACAGTCGCCGACGAACAGAGAGGCACGGATGTCACCAAAAACGTCCCGAGAAGAAAAACTGGCCACCTTTGATTGGATCTTCGTGTCCAACCATTCTTGGTTCACCGCTGCTCACTCTGGCAAGCCACCGTCCTAAGTGAATGTGCGTGAGCCGTGAGGGTTGCATCACTGGCAGTATAAAGGCCTCATGTCGTCGCTGTACGGAATACTGCAGGCAGAGACACGGAGCCGGAACGAACTCCTGACACAAACTGAGTTTTCACTCATTTTTGTTTAATAACCAGCCCCACGGTCGCCAACGCTGCCACCGTTGTCTTCTGAAGTCTTTTGAGTACCTGCTGATTCATCTCTTCTGGACGTTCACCACCGTTTATATAACTACCTCCAGTCGTCATGTTCCGTTGTCTTCTGCTACTTGCTGTACTCGCCCTTGTGCTCACGGAAGCTGCACCACGCAAGAGGCCCTACTACCGCCCCAGCAAGGGCCGCCACGAGCGCTATGGACGGTATGGAGGCCATGGAAACTATGGAAGCTATGGACATAAAAACAAGCATCGCTACAGGAGGGCGGTGACGCCCTTTTCTGGACAGGCGGCGTCTCTGTCCGAAGTGCTGGAGAAGGGAGTGGGAAAGGAAATACAGGGGAAAGCGTTGATGGCGGGAGAGAGGACCGACATACACCAACGGGAGCGGCGTGGACTGGAGAGAGAAGAGATGGATGGACGTGAGGGCAACTGATGTGAGAGACAGGACAAATAATGCTCGAGTTTGATTGAATGCCTGCCCAGTGCTCATGCACTTTGCGTTTTGATGTTCGATATAATGTTGGTTTGAAATGCATAGATGACTTCTGTTTTGAATGTGTCAATTTATCAGGAGCCTGTGTGCAATTTATTTGCGAGCGAGAAAAGCATAAAAGCATTCAACATTTTCTGTGACAAGCGATGCCAACCGGAGTATTTCGGTCCCTACCTACCCATCTTCGATCTCATAGCATTGTGTGACAGTCAGAGCAAACGCAGGATTTCTCAAATGGCACTGGCGGAAATGCCATGAAATGCACCGGTTACACTTGCTTATGAATATGATTTGGATAAAGCTAAACTTGCAGGTTACGGGTGCCTCGTAACTGACGTCGTTGCAAAATAGAAATGTCATAGAACTGTCAGCTCACAGTAAAGAAGATGGTTATCAGAAGCTGGGCTATCTAAACACGCTGAATGTTACGCAAGCCACTAGACATAGCACTGTCTAAAGTTATAAACCCGAGAAATGAATGCCTCTCTTAGGACTCAGGTAACTGATCGTCGAAGCCTGAGCTTCACCCATTCTCAGACAGATTGTAAAATATAGACGTCTACAGTTTTATTGAGGTGTCTTCTGGTACTGGACGGTGAAAATGGAAACATCCTGAGCCTATATTGCGTTACAAGCAATTTCCTATGCTACTAGCTCGACTTGCTTTTGCCAGCGGGTCGGCGGGGAGATGTTGGTCGCTGTTCCACTCCCTAAGTTAGCAGAACATCCTATGATGGGATCGAGACGAAATACAATAAAAGGGAGATAACCAATGCTGCAGGCTGCAACTGCTGTTCGTGCAATTGCTCTGAATTATATTTTGAGGTTTAGCTATACTCTTACAGAAGTGAGGCACCCCAAGACATGCACGAATTCGGTGTCACTCCAATTCAGATTGATCAACTCCACTTTTGCAATACCCATTTCATGACAAATCTTCTGGACTTACCGGTTGATATCAGATCAGACTTGTTTCACACTTCGGAGACCAATAAAAAGAGCCGCAGGACAGCTACAGAAGTCACGTTTGCAGCCACATTGGTATTACCAGCTAGAGAGTGAGAGTGACTGCCCCAGCCTCACGAGACGCAGGTGGCCCAGTTGTAGACGTGGTCGGTGGACAGTGGACTCTCAGTGGACGGCAGGACACGGGCCAGGACGGAGGTGCGTGGATTGCTGCGCGAGCTATGGGACCCCAGGCGAAGGTTCTCTGCTGGCTTCTGGTGAGGAATTATCAGAGCCCTTTCCTTTTATTGAATTATCGTGGGTAAGTGATCGTTCGCTGCTAGTGCCTGACCACCCCAAGATGACCGGCAAGCGGTTTATGGTTTAGATATTCGTTTATTAGTCGGCTATTTCTAGTTATTCGTCAACGAATATATTCGATTGCAGGCCAGACTTGCTTGCACATACATCTCGGCAATACGGGTCAAAATATCCCCATATGCTTCGTTCATCGCCGACATTTTTGCATCTTTTTGACGGTCCTCTCCTCCCTCACCAGGTGATCTGGCTGTCGGTGGGAGAACTCCATGGCTCTGACTCCGAGAAAACCTCTTCTCGCGGGGAGCGACTGCTGCGGATATTCAAAAACAGACTGCAATATCGGCCAAAGTTGAAAGTGGCCAAATGCCAGGTATGTTTTAAAAACTAACCTCAATGAACAAGCGTCTCACTAGTCACTTGTTCATTGTTTCGACTACAAACTGGCTGGGTGTGTACAATGTATGCAGACCTCACGCTTACGAGTTATGGCTACGCTTGGTAATTGGTATTTAGGCTTGACCAACTGATAAACGTCAAATTATACGGCAGCTAACTTTCAAAAGCCGACTATTTTTTGACGTGATAAATAAATAAACAAATAAATGAACGCAAGTAAAGGTGAACGAAAATTAAAAAAAGGATAAATGATAATTATTGTTCTTAACAGTCTCCGGTGCCAAAATTAGCACTGCAAGCCGATCATTGCAAAAAAAGGCTAAACGAGCGCAGAGGCCACTTTTACCAACATAAAAATAGCCGTCTGCCGGATTTTTTTGCCTAAAGACCACTTCATATACGCCGAACGTCAACGCGATGGGCACGTAAGCGGATAGGGCTTTACCGTTTACGCTCCTTATGTGAAGCGGTCTTTAGGCAAAAAAATCCGCAGGTGGCTATTTTTCTGTTGGTAAAACTGGCCTCAGATCCAGCTTCTGGGTTACGAAGTGAACCATCGTAGTCCACCGTTCTTGATGATCTCAGCTCCAGAGCTAAATCGTGACACTTAACATGCGTTTCATTTCCAGGGCAGCCGCTGCACCATTCAGCTCTCACCGTTGGTGGCTGTTTCTGCGTCAGTACCCGTCTGTGACTACACCCATCCCTGTCCCAGCGGTCATCACTGCCTCTCAGGTCACTGTTTCGCCCTCCCCAAATCCCTCTGCGGGACCAGCCAGCCGTGCTCGCCCCATAGACAGTGCCCCTGTGGAGAGCTGTGTCACAATGGACGCTGTACTAAGGTAAAACCAGCGGGGATAGGCAGCCCATGTGTAACACATTCACAGTGCCATTCGGAGAATTGTAAAAACGGCTACTGCGCTAATCAATGTCTCTACGATACTGATTGTTCTACCAATCAGTACTGTGACGGTTACCGCTGCCAGCATCGTCTGCCCTTGTACGGGACATGCTCAGAAAACCGCCAGTGCCTCTCCAACGCCTGCAACGGAGGTTCATGCGTGCAATGTCACAGTTCTTACGACTGTCCATTGCGACACTTTTGTGATCACAACACATGTCACTCGTTGAGAAAGCTCCGCGAATCGTGTCACTCGGATCAGGAGTGTTTGTCTGGGAAGTGCGGTAGGCTCAACTTCTGTGTTCTGTGCAGGTCGCACGCAGATTGTCGCGGTGGAACCGTTTGCAGTTCGACAGGTATCTGTAGGAGAGAGAGCAGCGCCGGTTCTGAGTGTTCCTCCAGTGAGGATTGTCTCAGTGGTGTATGCGGGATCCGCGGGTATTGTATCGAATGTAGAACGAATGGGGAGTGCGAAGGACAGGAACGGTGTGACAAAGGCGTCTGTCGTCCTCTTCAACTACTAGGACAGCAGTGTGATGCCAATGCTGATTGTGAGTCTGGTATATGCCATAGCCTCTCATGTGTGGAGTGTACAGGGGAGCGTAGTTGCGGCACTGGTAGGTTCTGTTCTTCAGAGGGTCTCTGCCAAACCCAGGCAGAGTTGGGAGAGGCGTGCACTCTCGACCAACAGTGCATCTCAGGTCTCTGTGAGGAGCTCCTGAACCAGTGCGTACGATGTACCGACGACTCACACTGTGAACAGGATGAAACGTGCACCGGCGATCACACCTGCGCACCAATTCAGCTCCCTGATACAATAACTCCCGTTAGAGAATCTCCAAACGTCATCTCACCCTCAGAGAACTTCACAGCGCTCCCGCCCGGCACTGTCCGCTTCGGAAACACCTTCGGAAGCGTCAACGCTACCTCGGACACCAAGTTTGACGGAGACGCCGCCACAGCTGTAGCCACAGCCGTTGCTTCTGTCACTGTCGATAACGTCACCGCCATGGCTACTGCCGATGCCACAGCCGTTGTTACTCTGGAGGATCTGATCAGGCAGAGGATTATGCAGCTGAGGCAGGCCGTGGCGGCGAAGAGGGAGGCTCTGAGCGAAGGAGGTGGCACGGATGAAAGTAATGTTGAATTGCTAGATAGTGAAGAGGACTTGAGACCGCTGGAATTAGATCCACGTCGGTTGTAGCCGGTCACCATCCAAACCACAAAGTTCAACTAAATGGATGAGAGTTTGGTAGCATTTTGAATAGATCGAGAAACCATCTCAGTGGTAGACTGGAAGCGGGTTTTATGATGTCGCTTAGCCCAGTTCATTCGCCTCTAGCTCAGTAGCATAAACTGTATCGCATAGTCAAATTTTTGTGTGTTGTCCATTGATATGCGAGTCTACAAAATAAAAATAACTTGTTACAACTGCTCAATGCTGCATTGTTTGCTAACGAGAATGGTATCGTGGAAATAAGCCGAGCCCTTTAAAGGCCCATGTTGCTCACTTATTATTACACAGAATTTCGAATTATGTTTAATTAGGTATATTGAATATAGCACATCAGCATCTTCAAAGCGCTGCCTGTAACACAGAAAACGACGAAGTACAGGAAACTGACGTCTTGCGGCCCTCACTTTCCTTCAGCGGCAGCCCCAGTCGCCGGCGGGTCCTCACCCACTATAGAGGGAGGGCGGCGGGCGATCCAGGCTGCTATCTCCGGGATGGCACGTACCCGCGACACTAGTGCCGCGGTGCGGGGAAACCCGGCACTAGGGTCGTCCAGCCGACAGATGGCGCCAATGACTTCCAGCATGGTGGCTAGGTAGATGTCGGCCCAGCAGACCTGGGGGCATGGTACAGGTCAGGGTGATATCCGTACACGGTACAGAACATACCGAGGGACATGTGAGGTCAAGAAGACATGCATCCACAGAAAAGACCTGGGTATGGTACATCTCGTATGCTCAGCAGACCATGGTACTTGATAGGTCAGGTAATCTAACCACCAACAGAGCTGATGGAATGGACGGTACGGCATAGGACACAGGACCAGTATGTTTGACCACGACCTGACCATCACCCAATGACTAAAGGCTGTACTGATCCCCAAACGCTATCCTGACCATACCAGACCCCTCTCCGCCCTCCCTGTCAGCCTTGTGACCTCATATCATTATCTACCATCTCCCACCGATTGTTTGCTGTCAATCAATGCCACTGACCTGATCCCCGCAGAGAAATTCACCATAAGTCAGCTTCCCCTCCAGCTGGGTCAGGAACTGCGGCAGACGCGTCTCCAGGAACTCCGCTCGCAGCGCCCTCTTTATCTCCGGCTCTGTCGCCCGGCGCACCGTCGCAGCCCGGTTCGTGATGTCGCTAACCGCCTCAGCCACGGCGTCGGCGCGAGCGCAGCGCCACGCAGTGGCCGGTTTAAGAGAGTATAGTTCGGCGAGATACCGACAGATGGCCACGGTTTGAGGCAGCGGTTCGCCGTTGACGTAAAGGATCGGTACCTGCCCCCAGGGCATGTCTGAGGGAAGGAGCAGAGCACGTCGTCACACTTCGGAACTTAAGAGCATCTGGCAACAATATCCGTAAAAATCATTGTCTTGCATCATAAACGATAGGCTAGTTGCATAGGGGCTAGGAGTAGGGCTTATACCCAAAATCAGGTTTCAGATCGCCCTGAGCCTATCAGCCCTGAGGCCTAAATTTGATTCATTTGGAAAACCCATTGCCCTACATCCCTTGTTCCCACATTCTACAAACCTGGCTTGAAGTCCTTCCACTGTGTCGGCTTGTCGATCCTGTGGTCCTCATAGCTGACTCCCTTCAACGCCAGGATCCAGCGAATGGGCTCCGCCCTGCCGGCTGACTTGAAGTACAACAGACGCAGCTCCTGAGGCCCCCGGCTCTCCTGCTCCTGACGAAACTCCTGATGTCTGCCGGGTCCCTGGTTAGAATCACCACACTCAGCCATGATGCCTGGGGATGTGCAGGTTTCACTGACTTGCTGGTAGTTGGGATTGACGAGCTGTCTTCACGTCTGTACCGCTTCTATCGCTGTCTCTGATCAGGCTGATGGCAAGAGGGTGTCAATCTGTCGAGCTCCAGTGACTCCTACAGTAGCTAAATGGCAGCTCGGACGATCGATTAGAACATCTGTTAGTCTAATGAGCACCAGATGTGGAAAGGTCACGGCCCTCCTGGCAGGGCATAGGCATTAGGCATGAGTCAATCGCCATAGGCGTAAGCGACCACGACGAAATATCGAAGTGTTGTGTTTTGTGCTCTTCGGGGTTGAGTACAGTAAGCTATATCGCTTTCATACCTTTCATATGGTCCGCAAATATCACGATATAGGGTCGGTGACGAGCATACAAGCTTGGTTCCGCGTTCTCGTGTATTACACAAACCGCCCATTCATAGACACCAGTCTCACCCTGTCATACAACGTACAACGCAGTCGAACAGACTCCCAGACACCCTGCAGAAGATACACACAGACATTTCCAGGTACCGTCTGTCTACTGGAATGGTGCAAATAGGTTAGGTCACCACACCAGTCCTGTGCGATTATAGCCAGGGCCAGCGCGACACCCTATCGGCAGTGCCCTACACCGCAGCTTAGGGTGACCTCCACCAGGTGGCAGTCACGTTCGTCAATGCTGTGCAGTGTGCAGGTAAATAACTATCGGTGAGTGCAAGGCATAAAACGATTCAACAGAAAACAATAAGTGTAATTCACAGACAGGAAAACACAAGAAGAGACGTCACTGGTAGATAAGGACTAGGCTAAAGGTGAGACGGAACATGCCATTTTCATGGAACTACTTTGCGAGCTAGACTACCTAATGATGCTCCTAGTTTGACCCCTACTGGGGTTTTACAACGTGAGCTTAGAAAGTTACAAACTACGCATAGTATAGAGAATATCACCTGGTGTCCGGGACGCGTATAATAGTTCTCTGCTGAGCCCGAGCCCCAATATCCTCCTGAGCTACACATTTACAACACAAACTCACAAGTAACGCGCATATACCGAGCACCAATTTCCAAAGGTCGCCCTTTGGACACACGACGGAAAATCACACAGTGGTTAGAGCAGAGGTCCACAAACAGCTACTGCTTGCAGAAAATCCCGTTGCGCATTCGAATTGTGCAGTTCAAGATAATCATTTAAAGAGAAAATTGCGCGGGGTGTCTTATAACTGCCCAACCTAATGCTTCACACACATAACACAGGCAAGGACAGATGTAACACGGCGCTAACTACATCTCCCGTAACCGTGAATCAATAAAGATAATATGATAACCACCTTCCAGCCTTCAACTAGAAGATCACAACAAATTCGGGGCATACCACACCACAATGTACCAACAACAAAACACAACTAATATGCCTTTAAATGAGCACCATTTTAAGGAGCTACTTCGTTTCGCTGAAATCGGTGCCGGTAGATCCCAACCTCACCAGGCCCAGCACAGCTGTGGCGATGTTAGACGTGCCCGCCTCTCACAGATATTGTTACGTCACTGCGCACACGGTCATCGCAGCTTGTAGCTCCGTCCGGGAGCTGCGGCAGCCAGGCCCGCCGTGCTTAGAGAACCTTCTTACCGCACAAAGTTCGATCAGAGAGTGAATGACTTGCGTGGTGTCGAGCAGCCCCTCACAACAGCCACAGCTAAGGTGCCACTGACAGCAGCCACGGTCAGGGCTGGCGGTCCGTTCCTTCCGCACACCACCATATGAAACGGCAGGTGCCCCGTGCACCCTACCTAGTGAACTTTCCTCTTGAAGTCGTTCTAGCTAGAAACACGGTAACCTCTGATCACAGGTCAAGACCGGGTCGCGAGTCAGCAGAGTCCAGCCGGGTAGTTACCTCAGACCAGTTTCTCACCATGATCCGAAGGTTCCAGCACCGGCACGGACCTCCGAAACCACTGACCACTCATCGTCCCAGCGTGACGTCACATAATGTCTGCAGATAGCGCGTGACGCTGCGCAACCGGCTCACAGCTTGTGGTGCACTGCTACCGCCGACTCAGGGCCATAGTTCACCGGTCACTGATCACAATACGGATCACGATCACGATCCAAAGTCACGGATCACGGTCACGGGTGCCGGCCCTCCTCACATAGTTTTCCAGCTCACTAGTGAATACCAGTCATCACAACTCATCCTTATCTCGGCTGGACGATTCTCCTTCCTTCGCGGAAGAATCATTCTCTCCTTTCGAGCTGGCACCGCACTGGCCTGGCTCCTCAAGCTCGGCCTTCGTGGCGTCCTGAGCTGAGGCTACGGCGGCGTCCTGCGCAGAGGCTGACTCCTCCGTGACACCCCCAGCGCGCAGTATATCCGCCAGGCCGCTCGGTCCTCCCGCCAGCACCCCAGTCAGGCGCTGTTCGGTACCCTCCTTCTCCCTCTTTCCTCCTCCACGGGAGGTGTGTTCGAGTGCCAGCAGTCTGTCCACCAGCTGAGCGCGTCTCTCGGGGGAGAGAGAGGCCACCTCGCGCAGCAGCGGGCCGCCGCTGGGCTCGGCCAGAGCGGCCAGCTCGGAGCCACTCAGCTGCAGCAGCTGCCGCAGCCAGGCGCACACCTGGGAACGGAGAGGTGAAGCAAAATGTCAGAGGATGGTGACAGAAAGATTTCTGGTGACAGAAAGATTAAGTCAATCGTATCAAACGTTACCTGTGCATAAATAGCTGAAACTGAAATAAAAACCTTTATATAAGAACAGGCGAGACTGTGAGATTCCAGTCCCAGCGCAGCTGAGCATTGAGTATACAGCGATCCTTGTTCAAATGTTCAAATTCAATCGGAATTTTCACCTAACTATGGTATATAAAGTTTACAAGCCAAAATCTACAGGGATGATCTATGTTCACCCCTCCCCGTCCGCGTACCTGAGCAGCAGCCTCGCTTCTATCGCCGCCCTCTGTCCTCTCCTCCGTCCGCTCTGCCTTCTCCCTCTTCTCTTCCTTCTCCTGCTCTGCCCCAGTCTCGGTCGTCGCTGTCTTAGAGTCGGCTGTCGCCGCGGCCGTGTCTTCCACCAGCTGAACAAGCTCGTCACCGCTGGGACTGACAGCCATCACGTGACCTACGCCGCCGGTCGGCTCTGTCGTCACGTGGTCTCAGTCAGTGGGGAGGCACAGGCATGGAGGTAAAACCACGTGACTAACGCCGTAGGCCGGCTCTGTCATGTGGTCTCAGTCAGTGGGGAATCACAGATAAATGAAGTGATATCACGTGACCCAAGCAACCGGCAGGCTCTCCTGCCACGTGACGTGCTCAGTCAGTACGGATAACGTGATGGTTGAAATATCGCACGATCAAAGCAACGATTGAAATTGTACTGCAAAGTTGTAACAACCTTCATTCTGGAGACACGTGAATAATTTCTCAATCAGTAAATGGATGACAAGGTCAACGAAAGGTTACGGCAAAGGTCAGACTATTTTTTCCTTAGATGAATCTGCAAAAAGACATAAGCGATATTGGATGATATTGGATAGCGCAGGTCACTAAAAGAAATCGGGAAACGCAGTTCTGCCAAATGCACCCACATGACCGCTATAACCCCGCTCGAACAGGCCACTCTGATTATCTGATCAGACGCGTGTCTCAATGTCTCCCTTCAAATATCCCAGTTTCACCAGTTCATCACACGTCTCCTAGCATCCCTCGTGTCCCAGTGTCCCACTGTAATCCCCCATGTCTCATTCCCTTCCTCCCTTGTCTCACTACGCAGTGCGACTCTCCTAGCCTAACCCGGTGTCTCAATTGTTCCACCATGTCTCATCCCCTGCCTCCCCTGTGTCCCACTATACGCCTCCATGTCCCACCCCATGTGTCCGTGTCTCACTCCCCCCTCCCCCGTGTCTCACCGGGGGCAGTCTGGGCGGGCTGCGCGTCGGACAGAGTGACCTCCAGCTGGGGGTTGTCTCGGAGCGCCGCTCGCAGTCGCTCGCCCTCGGCGGTGAACAGAAATACTAGAGGGATGGTGACATCGTCCGTACCGTCTCCTGTGGGGGGAGAACGGCGGGTCAGTGGGGTCAGAGAGGGGTCAGAGAGGGGTTTGAGAGAGTCAGAGGGGTCAGAGGAATTAAAGAGGTCAATAGAGGTATCAGAAGGATTTAAATCAGGAGAGGACAGCTATCGCTGCTGGAAATTAGGAAGAGGCCGCCCTGGGACAAAGGGACGTCAAAATGTGGAGGAGTTTTGCGTAGGTGTAGTTGGCCATAAAATCTAGTATAGCTTTGTATGTACGTTTATAGCAACGAATGGAAACGTAGTAAAAAAAATAATAATCATTCCTTCATAAAACAACACGTTAAAAAATACGCGTGCACAAAGTGTTTTCAATAAAAATGTACACGAAGCGGCACACTAACCATGAACCTCGTCCTAGTTATGTCGCAAATTCATTCAAACAACTATAACTTCTTTCAGCCCCAAGGCATACGCCACACATACAGCTATGCTCGCCCCCACAGTCTCTCCCCTCTCCCATCCCGACACCCACCTGACATGGCAAACAGCGGCGAGCTCTCGGCGCCCGTGCCGCCCGTATGGTCCACCACGACTCCACCCACCGCCCCCAGAGCCTGGATGCGCCGCGCCTTATCCACGAACATACAGTCGCCGCGCTCCATGAGCACCAGTCGGCCGCGGTACCGGGACGGGTGCGAGAGGTCCGGACAGACCCGCAGAGGGTCCGCCTCGACCAGCATGCCCGTCACCTGAGGGGGGGGGGGGGGCAGCGTCAGCTCGGTGGGGCAGATACAAATTCATCTCCGCATCGATCATGAAAGGGAGGAAAAGGTCAGATCAATGGTAGTTTAGTTTGCGGAGACGCAGTGTCGAATCAGGCGAATATATGTTCTTAAGTACGCTGTCTTTTTTTTTTGTCCTGACAGTTGACACTCCTGACTAGCCATCAGTAATTCATCACTAATCAAGTCACCATCCAGATCGCAATGATCGACTGGAGACAAATCGTGCAGTCTCCAAAGAATTACTGTCTTCCAGCCCTCTTTTCTAAAATATCCAAAGGCCGTGAATAGTTCTATCCCAGTCCACCCTCGCCCACCCCGCCCCCGATATTCACTCACCGGCGGTATGTCCCCGAGGCTGGGCCCGAACTGCGCCGGCCCGGCCGGCAGAGTGACCGTCTCGTCCCCCGGTCCGGGACGGAAGGTCACCGCCCGCGGCGGGTTCTCTGGCTGGTCCAGCTGCTGGCGGGACAGCTCGATCATCTCCTGCATGAACAGCAGACCCTCCTCGGCGTCGGCCGGAGAACGCGCCTGTGAGAAAAGGGAGGAGAGGAGATGTCAGAAGGACTTTCTTAGCGTTCGAGTCTTAAAAAGAGAGACTGCCACGATAAAGGCGATGAGCAGGAATGCACGGTGGTGTTAGATGCGATATAATCTGAAAATAAATTAAACTAGGAGTGTCTTGAAATTGCGGAAGACTGACGTTGAACAACGCGAAAATGAGCAAGATAAAAATGAAGCACAAAACGAGAATAAAAACGATAAATAAGAAACAGTTTCGATACAAATATCAATAGCTCAAAGATAGAAAACACCTAGCTTGACAAGGATGATAATCCCCTTTCACCGCTTACATTGCCGGGGTTTTCTACATCTAAATCATCCCTTGTCCCTCTCTCACATTGGCGGCGGTATGCAGCAGCTGAACTCTTCCATCTGGCAGCGTTGTCATGGTTACGCCCAGCTGTCTGACCAGCGCCACATGCTCGGGTAATCCCGATTGGAACTGAGCTGCTGTGAGACGGCGCGGTCGCAGCCGGCGGCTGGGACACGTAGCCTCGACTAGGTTCGAGAGGGGCCGGCGGATCGTCTCGGAGAAGGTGCCCGGGAAAAGGTAGTCGGTGTTTGGACAGCTGCGGGCGTATTCGACGTCTGGCTCGGGCGGTGGTGGTGAGCCGTCAGGACGCAGCTGTGGGGAAGAGAGAGAGAGAGAGTCAGAGATGAGACAGAGGGAAAGACGCCAGAGTCAGAGAAGAAACGGAGAGAAACGGGTAACTAGGCGGCACTGGGCGATAAGACTTAATGGCCTGGAGCCGTGTTGAAAGACCATAAACCTCTGTACACCTCTGTAAAAGGTTGGACGAATACGGATGGATACAAAGTTCACGATTTTACGATGCAAAACTACAAATGCCAACAATAGTTATATACTACAATAGTGATATGTAGACAACTCAAATCGTTGCACTTGCGTCATCACATTCCCCCTTCCCCTTTCATCCTCGTCCCTCGATCCCTGCCCCTCCCCATTCCGTACCGGCACTGCGGTGAGATTGGAGAGTCGGGCCAGGGTCAGCGGAAACAGGTGCGCCTCCGTGCTGAACACAAAGTCGTTGATGTCCAGCACTAGGTCTGATTCGTCAGCGAACAGCAAGTACAGGTACTTGAACGTCTCGGCCAGTACGAATGAGTCCAACCTGTGGGCGAGATACAAGATAGTTGCCGACGTCATAGGAAGACATATTCGGGGAGGAATACAAAGAGACGGTAATCAATATGTTACAACGAATGAGTCTACCCTGGGAGCGACTGGAGAATGGTAATGCACGACAGAGGACTGTGGTGCCGAGCGTTAATTAGAGGTAGTTGTCCGTGGCGTATTTCGACTGAATCTAGTGAGGTGCCACTAAACGAGAGATGAGGTGCAAGGCGGCAGATCGCTGCGATACGACTTTATCAAGCGCAGACCTGTCACCTGCTACAACAGACGCATGCGAAAAATGCTAAAACGCAGTAAAGGTAATATAATCCACGATGGCTGTAGTTTAACTTGTAGCTCTTTTCTATGACTCTGAGGTGCAGTATCTTCCGAAAAATAGAACGAGCACAGAGCTGGAGTATATACGTCATAGGGGCACCTTCAATTTTGTGGCACACTACCGTTCCCATTCACCTAACTGTGCGACGTGCGTGGTCATATATTGCGCCGCGGGGCTTTGAAATATCGAAGTTTGGGGCCATACACCGCCGTTGAGCCGAATATATTGGAGGGCCAAGCTCCCAGCTCGGTGGAGTTAATTGAGTTTGACCACGAACTCGGCAAAGTTTCTAACCAGGGGAAGTCGGTTCTCGGTAAATGGGACATAACCTCGACGTTTCAGAGCTCAGGTACAGCAATAAGTCCAATGTTGGGACTTACGTAAAGGTCCAAAGACAGGATCGTTAGCAGGGTCTAACAATAATGATGAAACCAAGCCCAGCAAAAGGGTCTCTGAAGGGTCTCAGACCTGGCCGCCTGAAATAGAATCTGGAGTTGGGTTTAACACAGGCACATACTGAGCCTTACATAGTTGTGCCCGATATTGACCCAGGCCCTCTTTTATGTAGGGTCATCTTTTATGTAGGGTTATCTTTTATGTAGGGCCTCACCCTGCTCTGCTTGAATGCCCGTCTGGCCACTTCTCATCCCTACCCAGCCCATGTTTTCCCCAACCGTGGCACACGTCACCGTTTACTTCGTCAATCACAAACTCGTGATACACGGTACAGGTGCCGGTCCCACCGTCTGTTAACAGACAGTCGTTACAGCGTTAATGAGCTGCAGTCGAGCGAGCGGCAGAACACCTGTGGTGACACACGCCTGTACCATCTACAGGTGGTCGATACCTGATCGGTACTCGGGATTGCCACCTACGTTTGCGGGGCCTGGGGTGGTGACATGGACACGGATTGTTCTAGACTTTTCCAGACCGTTTCGGGACATGTATGACCAACCAAGACAAACGACTATCCCGGATAATTCCCGAAAATTTTGACAAGTTCATACCGAGAAAACTCCTGACCAATCAGAACTATAAATGAAGTTTTGTAAATACCTGTTAAGTTCTATAAATTCGGTGAATTACGAATCATTACGTAAAAATATCGGCATTACGCCACATAGGTCGGTTTCAGAGTTGTCTTAGCAGTTAGCACCATCCAGAACAGTCTAGCCGGGGCAACAAACACAGACTTGGTGTAAGTCCCACAAAACATTAGTCTGCACCACCGTCAAATTCAGCGGAGAGCGTTTCTGGGTACGGCCGCGATGGGGCCGGTCACAAATTGCGAGTGGAAAAGAAAACAGGATTAGCGAAGGTAACATACGAGACATACGCTTCTATACTAAGATGACTGAGGAGACTTGTAGTGGAATTAGAGCCTTATAAAATCCGCGGTAAATACTGGGAGCAAACATACTTCCGTCACGGGAAAGCAAAGACAATTTTTATCAAAGGACAGCCGGCTTTTGAAAACGGTTACAACGCTGCCGTGCAAAGGCCAAAACTACTATGTGAGGTCTGAAAGAGTAAAGCGTCACAAAATAGACCCGCCAACCTCTCCTTCTATCACCCTCATCATATTACACCTTACACTAAGCTTTACTTTCCGGGTCGATCCATAATTGCCGAATGTTTTTTTTTTACGCAGCATGATTCTATCAACTGAAAAACCTTCACCACCAAGACCAAGAGAAAGATCCCTCTATCCCCTTCCCCAGTCTCCGCCAGCCGCCCCAATCTCACCTGTCCTCATGCTGTCCGGTGCGGACGTCTTTAACCGCCGCGAACCCGCACGGCACCCAGGCCAGCCGCTGAAGACTCTGCAGGACTCGCTTGCCGGCGTGTAGGTAGTACGGGTCGCCCGTGGCACGGTGTAGGAGGTAAGTGGATTCAACGAACTCTGGTCGCAACGGGTGCTGGCCCCAGTGCACCTGAGGAGAGGAGGGGGGGGGGGGATGTCATGGCATGGCTGTCGCTGTTAAACAATGCTTAGACAAATGTGTTCGGTGTACGATAAAAATAAAGAAAGTCTATCCTCGTTTAACAGCTGTGCTAGAGCAGATTGCGAAATGCAATCTATTCTTCGCCGTCTGCACAGTACACACAATACCCTCATATGTGAGAAGTAAATGCAAATGCATACATTACACCCAAGGCCTCATCTTTCAGCCCTGGTCACCAGTTCACCACTATTCCCTGTCCCAGCACCGAAGACATTGCCTATCATCGTACCTGGAAGTCCGTCGTGAAGGCCTCGGGCAGAAAGTTGTGACGCTGCATCACTTGGTACAGCATCTCGTGGGTCTCAATCGCTGACTTCACGTCACCTTTGAGCACCTGGAAACGGGAGCCAGTGACGTCATACAGTGCAATACAAGTGACGTCATTGAGAAGCTATAGCGGCAACGCTGTTAATGTAGGTGTCGAATAGATTTGTAAAGTTGTTCATTCAAATGTTGGGAGAAGGAGGCGTAGCGTAAGGTAAAGTAATTTAACGTGAGTGAATGAACAGTCTGACTATTGCTGGCTTGGAACGGACAATCTACTCGGAATGATTAAGTAAACCTAGTGTAAATTTGCTAACTTGTCACTTATTCCGTCGCACGAGTTACCAAGTCACAATTATGTAACAAACACGTATGAAGTACTTTGTAGCATTTGCAAGTTTCGTCTTGGATGAGTTTCGAGCACGAAGTAATCTCGTATTCAGAGCAATGCATCAGCATTTAAAGGGACTATCCCACCTTCTAAAATGTTGTTAAAACCAGTTAAATTGTGCCCGACTTTATAGATTGGATGACCAGGAACACGGTTCTGGCATTTATTTTTCATTAAACATCTTAGGCTTCCCATATTCCAAACACAAACTTTCAAATATGTGACGTCACAGCCCAAAATTACCTCCTTCCCCAGGCCACATTACTGTCATAAAGCTGATTCTTTTTACTCTGTAGGCACCACAACAAAGTTCAGACCAAGTTTTAAGCGATTTTTTGACGAACAAACCCATTTAAATCAGAATGACTAAACGAGGTGACGTCACACTAACGGTCGCTCCATGTTGAAGATAGGGCCTTGTACAAGGCCCATTTTCAAATGAAGGGAACGAATTTCTTCAACACCAAGAGGCCGCGGGGGTTGCAACCTAGATAGATAGTGGTTTCTGAACCTCGCCGCAAACTTGGCTATCTCAACTCAAACCCCATGTTAAAGGTGGGATAGTCCCTTTAAAAGCGTCCAAGTTCAATGAGTTTAGGCGACACATAAGCGCTAAGCTTCGTAAGCGAGGAATCGAATCAATTCTTAACCTTCCAGGCGGTGGGGTGGGGGGGGGGGGGCATTTTTTTTGCCCCCCCCTTTAGTTTTTTCAATATATCTCGAAAATCGCTGCGCCGATCGTCACCAAACTTTCAGTACCCTCCCGGGAGCAGCTAGCGCACATGGTGACCAAAAATTTTTCCAAAGGCTATGATAGGTTGGCCGCTAATGACGTCAGAGTGACGTCATTTTTGCCATTTTCGACCCAAAAAAAGGTTTCGCGGGAAGAACTGTCAGGCCTACAGCTTTAGAGATACAGAAAAATGTTTCAGACATAAAAGGTGTGGAATCAAACGGGCTACAAAACTGCTATTTCGGTTTTTCGAATTTTTTGGATTTTGACCCCCAAAAATCAAAAAATAGATTTTTGAATATAATAGCCAAAAAATCCAAAAAGTTTTTTGAATTTCGAATAAACCGGAATATATGTGATAGTCCCTACCGCCTTCTATCTACATACCAAATTTGAGATCGATACCTCTTTTTTGGCCAAGTTATAGCGAAAAAACTGTTCAAAATTGATGACGTCATATTTTCAAACTCAATTTTTAGCAATTCTAGACCTCGTAGCGCAAAACAAAGACCACCATTAGACTCCCCGTGACAAGCTGCATCGAATCGATACCCATTTTATGCAAAAATATCAACTTTGAAATTTGACCTTTTTTGACCTGACCTTGACCTGACCTCCACCAGAAAGTGACCTAAACCGTACCTGATGGTCTTATAACCAACACCATTGAGTTGGAAATGAAAAACTGGCCATAAAACATGCATCGCATAACCTTAGTAAAGTTGGGCTCATGTGGTGACCCTTGGTGACCTTTGGTGACCTGACCTGTGACCTGACCTGGTATGACCAGTGACCTCTAATAGCAACATATGTACTAGACAACTGACGCCTTATCGCTGATTTTCGACAAAATGCGTTTTACTCGGTGTTATAGCGCTTTCCCTAGAAGCCCCGTGAACGGTGAAACATTTTATCTTTGACCTGACCTGTGACGTCATCGGTGACCCCGAGGTCAATGAAATTTGGTTTCCCTCGACAAATTTGACAGGGCTATCGAACGCCGTTTGAATTTTCCGGATCCGTCCAGCAGTTTCGGAGATACGGGGGGGGGGCAAAAAAAATGCCCCTCCCCCCCCCCCCCCCACCGCGCGGAAGGTGGCTGGTAGGCCCACCGCCTGCCGGGTTAAAGCTACATGCCCCTCCCTCCCTCAACCTCACGATGACCCAGAGAGCTCCACCGACCTGAAGTCCGGGCCAGAAGGCGAGTAGAGCGTCCATGAAGTTACGCGTGGTGGTGTGAGGTCGGTGCATGTGGACATCCAGCAGCATCGGGCCCTGGCTGATGTACTTCATCACCGCCTCGTAGTGCCGGTTGAAGCGCTTCAGGTACCTGGTGAACGGAGGCAGGGGCGGCGTCAGGGAGCGACCGGTGGGGGGGGGGGGGGGGGGAGGGGAGGGCAGAGGGCGCAGGGCATCGGTAGCAAAACATGGACAGACTGGTGACGCTACTATGAGGACACTTATGCAGAGTAGCAGATTATGAGTTTAGCTTTAGGAAGCCTGGACTAGGGAGTCCGGATATTACAGTTTCTGCCGCGAATACCGTGTTGCTAGACTGGTAAGCGCCGGGTCATTCGAATCTGTAAATCAGCCTCAGGTAGAATTATCTCCTGGGAACTGCCAAAATTGCCATGGCTTTGTAATCGGGGTCTTTATGAATTGTTCAGCCGGTGATCCCCATTTCGGCGCCTTACTTGGTCTGTGAAAATCCACGCTTGGTGTGTGATTTGATTCGATGCGTGTTTTAAATTGAGCCTCATGAAGCAGCATCCCTCGACAAAAAAAGACAAATTTCTGAACTTAACGACCGGCTTGCATTTCTTCCATTTCCACATTTTGCGAATCGGATCGGAACTTTGTGAGAAGGATAATAATATTCATAAAAAGGCAGATTTCCAATGATGTATTTCTCGACGCTCACTGTCACCAGTAACAAACATAGCACACCAGTGTGTCCAAAATTGTAATGTTGCGGGGAAATCCACCCATAATGAAAAGTATAATGACATCCTAAAAATAGAAATAAAGACATCCTCACGGCAGTCACAACTTAAAATATAACCTCGAACTTAACTTTTAGGAGCAAGAGAAACACGAACCTCGCAAACTCTCAAAAGACACCTAGACAACCATTCGAATAACCAAAATATTTGAATGTAGGTATGACCCGACTCAAAAACCTCTCCCGAATATCAGAATGCCTTCAAAATTTTGTCAGTACCTATTCAATATTTCTACATCATTTTCTCGTGAAGTATATGAAAACGGCGACATATCTGTATGAAGAAGGGTCAAAGTCAAGTTTTATGAAAATAACGACATCCTTTCCGGCCTTTTTTCCACATCCTCCCCCTAACGTAAAATGAATTTAGCCACACTGTAGCACACAGCACCAGCGCAGCCCGAAACGCACCCCAGACCACCGGTTCGGTACAGCGAGTTCAGACACATCAGTCGCCCGATCTCTCGATCCAGCGACTCATCAATGGAATCAGTTCAATAAAGCTGCAGCAGACCGACGAGTACTGGAAGTCTGTAGAGTGTGGAAATTTCTACAACCGCTGCACGATCTTAGCATTCGCTTCATTCTCCTATACAGTAGAGCGGCACCCTTAGTAGTTATCCAAAGCCACCACTTCTCATTTCCTTAGCGCCTTTCCGCTCACTCATCTTTCCCGCAGCTCCCTCAGTATTCGCTCCGCTCTATCTGTGTTTCCCGCTACCCGGTACTCGCCAAGCTCCCTCAGTATTCGCCAAGCTCCCTCAGTATTCGCCAAGCTCCCTCAGTATTCTCCCCGCTCTCTCATCCAGTAGAGCACAGCACCGGAGTGTACGGCCTCAAGGCTGCTCCATGAGCTCAGCTGGTAACCGGTGCCTTCCGCCAGCAGCGAGCCCCAGCCTCCTTCTACCGGGGAGAAGCCTGATGTTGTGAGAAGAATCTGATGGGGGTGCTCGCCGGGTCCCGCCTTGAACAGCCACGGCATACGCCGCTTCAGACCTCTTGGTTTGTACTCCCAGCTGCCAAAGCGGGTGGCCAGTGTCACCTCTGTCTGAGATCTCGTGTTGTGTGTGAAGCTGTAGGTACTCGGTGCTAACCACACACCTCCGAGCCGCCGCCGCCCGGTCTCAGCGCGCGCCTCGATCCGGTAGGAGAAGGTATCGGTGGCGCCGAGGTCACGGATGGCGTCCGCGTGCCGCAGGATCGAGTAGTCCCGCTCCAAAGATGGAGACGCCTCGGCGCGGCTCACCACAGTTCCTCGGTCCCAGCCGGGGTGGGAGCGAGACGACAGCAGCAGCGTCCAGCCGCCGCTGTCGTGGCTGAAGTCGCACAGCGTCGGTTCTGACATCCCGGTGAACCAGTAGACGCCGTCCCGGGGCGCGCCGCCCTGGTCCCGCAGCCGCAGACAGGAGCGGGCGCAGGCGAGCACCTCCGGCCGCTGGTAGAACCCCCGGTCGGCCGGCAGCGGCTGTGGCCGCTTCTCACAGTCCAACTCTGGGGCAGGGCCAGCACCGGGGATTTGTGGCGCAGATAGACCAGCGGAGGACGAGCTACCGGCGCAGGCCAGAGTAAGACCCGCTTTTCGCAGAGTACGGTCCAGAGATCGCTCAAGCGCCCGCTCTGCCACTCTCTCCATCACTCTTTCCGCCACTCTCTCCGTCGCTCTCTCCACAGCTCTTTCTGTCACTCTACCACCAGCCTCTCCAGAACGGCCTCCACCTGATGCTCAGCTACATACTCCGTTTGATTTGCAATTTGGTCCGCGCTTATACCCAGTATCATCACAACCAACACCAACAGCTGCCAGTGAGAGCTTGCAGCCACCATTCTCCAGTCGTTCCCAGACACAGAGTGACAATTTAGACGACAGTGCAGCACAGAGCAGCGGTGTTTAACTAGACTTGGTGTCAGCTGAGCCGGAGCTTCCCGCATTAACAAAGTACCAGATCAGAGACATTTGTATACAGAGGCATGTGACCAGATATTTACAGAAACGGCCGTATCGTACAAATTGGATAAACCCAGCCCAATTACCGATAGAGCTGGGTTTCTATTTATTAGGGGGAGCCTAGAGCATGAAGTGAGATATTCAAGAAGTGGCTTTGGAATGTTTACTGGTTAGCCTCAATTTGGCAGCGGACATGACATTTATGATGTAGATAACCAAAACTAAAATAGCATTTGAGTGATCTAACCTGACTCTGAAATTTCAATAGGATCCCTTTACGCTGGGTAATAAAGGCGTCCAAATTCAGCACTTCTTCGCTCGATTGTTCTTTTTTCTCGCAGCTGATCAGTTGACATTCCCATCCCTTCTCCAACCGACATTTTTCCTTGTCAAGACGGCGGGCCGCCGTAGCATCCGAACGAATTCAGTGTAAACGGTGTGCATCGAAAACCCAAGTCGTACACGTAACTATGATGTCACACACAGCTGGCTGACGTCATACGACAGAAATCGATGTAACGCGCCGGCTCCATGGTCCGTGGTCACGCGCGGTTTGAGTTGATGGGCGGTGGAGGCCGATCACCCGGGGGATAAGAACACACAGCACTCTGTACGTGGTGGACGGTCGAATGTGAAAATACGGTGGTTCTACCCAGCCGCAAGGTAGAACACAGCCAGCATACGAGAAAAACGAGCGAAAGGCGGCGTCACGGGAGACACTGAGACGTTAGAAAAGCGGCAGTGGCGGTTTTTCAGTCCGACAAATAGGAGGGTGAGACAGAAATGGATAGCGACGATGAGAGGCATGGTAATGGGTCCACGACAATGCAATTATATCAACACATGACTGGTGCATTCCCACTTTACGCATTACACTCTACCCGTCCCTCCGGCCCTCCCCCTTATATCCGAAAACTATTTCCTGTCAATACAGCTGCACCTACAGAGTCAATATATGACAATTCCACCACGTCAAAGTAAGACCAGTCGCCTTTTACTAACGGCCTGCCCACCGTTGCACTGTATGCAGCGCAATATATCCTCAAAGATCTGCGATAGATTCATCCATTCCCGCATACGCCCTCCCTCCCACCCTCCCCCCGCCTTGCCTCACCTCTCCTCTCCGAGCAGAATGTAGGCCTTGAGGCAGTACTCGTAGTAGCTGTCGATGCCGGCGCCGACGCCAGAGTCGCGCCTCACCCAGTCACCCGAGTGGACATTGATGGTGGTTCCGACCAGGTCGGAGCCCCGGTGGCGCTGCTCCCACAGACTGTCCATCGCCCGGTGCGCCTTCTCCTGAGGAGAGGGAGGGGGAGGGGGGCGGTCAGTCACGGGGGTGGACGATAAAACGTGCGGTTATTCATTGGTTATGTATTGGAGCTTTAGGGCGTGCCGAATATTTCCATATTGCGCTCAGTGGACAGTTGATCACCATTCACATGATAAAATGACAGCAATTGCATGAAAAAAAAACAACCGCAGATACCATATACCATGACGGAGACAGCCTTTCCGAAGTATTAGGAAAAGCGTCTTTTTTAGTTTTCGTGACATGGCTTAACAATGCAAAGGATCATTAACAGTAATTTCTATGAGCCGTTTCTAGTTCCGATAAGTTCGCCGTATGCAATGCCGTCTCTCAGTTCCGTCGCATGTTATATCAGTTTTATTAATAGTTGAGTCAGGGTATAATTATCTCATTTCCATCTTCAGACATTGAGCTGATAAAAGCAAGTAAATTTCCTTCACTGCCTAGGATTCTGTTGTGGGTCCTCAATCCTCATTCAACCTCCTTGGTAGCAACGAAGCCCTGGTAGCATAGGTAAGTAATTCCGATTAAAAAAGAAACTATTAATACAGGTCTAACAGCCATCTTCGTTCTATTTTAAAATGATTCAACTTGTAATGCCGACTCCTAAAAGCTACCTGATAACGGTACATATCACTGACTTTGACCGGTCGATTTCGTATCGGCCTCCGATGATGTCACTGGATGAATGATTCGCGCGGCGGGGGACCCCGGGGCGATACCTGGCGCCCACACTGTTTGAGATGACACCACCAGAGCAGCTATCAGCTCGGTGATAGCGTCAGAGAGCAGGTTTGCTGGCGGGACGGAGGTCGAGGGCACGACATTCACCGGGCAGAAGTGGCACCGAGAGACTTCTCCACCGGGCCAACCGCTAACCCTACCCGGCTCACAGCTGACCAGTCACACTAAGGTAAGAACGATCACGACTTTAAACGGGACCGCAAGTAATATTTGTGCATAGCGCTGCCAGCTTTAAGGCTCAAATTGCGGATGACAATGCTGAAATGGCCGTATTTTGTCTGGTCCAGTCACTAAATACTAGCTGATATAGAGACAACCAATGGGCTGGTGGGAACTCTTTTCCCTAGGTCCTGATGAATGCCTTGTCTACTGCATCATTAGATATCCGATAGCAGACAATTTCGCGCATTTCGCTTTTCAGAGCCCCGCCTACCATCATCTCCCATCATCTCTAACAAACATCTACCATCCATACCGAAGCTTGACAGCCCATGAGTAAAGTCCTCCCCCTGCCCCGAGAGCGGTGGAGGGTCCCTGTAAAAGGATTTTACATTTCAATAGAAACATTCTAAAGACCCCAGCTGATACATGTAGTCTGGCCTACACTGGCGGATCCAGAGGGGGGGGGGGGCATGGCATCAAAGGCAAACATCCTCCACCCCGTAGCGCCCGAAATAAAAGAAACTTTGTCGTTCTTCTAGAATGGAAACACAACTAAACTGGTATAAGGAAAAGCTTACTTCAAACTACACAACAGTACACAAACAATCAAAATCCGACTTTTCTTTAATTTCAAGAAAAAAAATTGAGGGTATACTCCCGCAGCCCGAGCCCGCCTTTCTGGATCCACCTATTGTCTGCTTCACGGTGACTATAAATACTTGTTATCTTGTTACTTGTCTACTTGTTATCTCCAAAGATAATACAGTTTGACCATATTCTTTATATTTTATATCTTTAATCTATACTTGTATCTCTTTCCACATCAATAAGAAAAGACTCATCCAGCCTTTTAACTTGGTCGTTTCCTTTTCAGGTTACCTCAGATGGGGCCAATTTAATTCGGCGCTGTCAGTGGAGCACAACTAGCCATCGTCCATTGGACAGATCAACTCTGGGATGCCTAAAGGTGGGAAAAGCTTCAAAAGCACACCGCGGAAATCTACCGTTTCGAAGCAGCCACAGGAAAGCATGGCGGCCGTAGCCGTTTCCGTTGCTGCCAACCTCCTTCCCACAGTCGTTCAATACGGAAAAGAATGGTACGATTCTAAAAAAGAGAAAGATGAAAAAGCGAATGAAGACAAGGAAAAGGAAAAACAGGAGAAATGTGAAGAAGAAATGAAGCAAAAACAGAAGCAACGGGAGGAGGAGTGGCAACAGGAACTTGAAAGAGAGAGAAAAGCGCGACAAGACTCCGAAAGGAAAATTCAAGAAACACTAGACACGGTCATGGGAATGGCGACAGCCAACGAACAAAAATTCCAAGAGTCGATGAATCGGATGCAAGAAGAATTTGAGAGAGAACGTCGAGCCCTCAGAGAAGAGATCCAAATGATCCAGACAAAACTGCAGGAGCAAGTAAAGGAAGACACTAATAGAGCAATCGCCAGGGCCGTTGCAGAGAGTACAACGTGGGCGGTCGGTGGGATTCAGACAGGGGCGGTCAGCAGTCAGACAGGGTCGGCCAGCAGTCACACAGCGGCGGTCAGCGGTCAGACGGCGGCGGTCAGCAGTTACATAGGGTCGGCCAACGGTCAGATAGGGTCGGTCAGCAGTTACATAGGGTCGGCCAGCGGTCAAACAGGGTCGGTCAGCAATCAAACAGGGGCGGTCAGCGGTCAGGCAGGGGCGGTCAGCGGTCAGACGGCGGTGGTCAGCAGTTGCATAGGGTCGGCCAGCGGTCAGATAGGGTCGGTCAGCAGTCATACAGGGTCGGTCAGCAGTTACAGAGGGTCGGTCAGCGGTCAGACAGGGTCGGTCAGCGGTCAGATAGGGGCGGTCAGCGGTCAGACAGGGGCGGTCAGCAGTCAGACAGGGGCGGTCAGCAGTTACATAGGGTCGGCCAGCGGTCAGATAGGGTCGGTCAGCAGTCATACAGGGTCGGTCAGCAGTTACAGAGGGTCGGTCAGCGGCCAGATAGGGTCGGTCACAGTGTTGGAAATGAGGCCCTTTTCTGGTCCCGGGCGGGTCCAAAAGATTTTATTCTCCTTACCAATTTTATACTCCGGCACCTCTGTGTCAAAATGTGACTAGCAAAAGAACAGCGACTGGCGCAAAGTCGTCCAGACATCAACGAACTAGCAAATTACGGAACATTAACCGATTCTGGAGTTTTATTTGCTTTGTTCAATTAATAACTCATTGATTTATCAAGTCATTGGGCCCGCGAGATTCATGCACAATCCGCAAATTTGGGATAAGGTGGATCCCTAAAAGTTATCCTTTGTTGTGCTGCATGGTAACCAACTGACTGGTCTTCCCACAGGATCCTCCATAAATGAAGTCTCCCGGTCCCTGGCCTGCTCTTCCCGGCTGTTCCTGCTCCTTAACGGTCTACGCACTGCGCCCAACGGACTTTGTGGACTATTCGAAGACGCTTTGATCCTGTTCGTGAATCTCCTCATGTCAATCCATATTATCCATTGTAGCACATTCAAATGTACAATTTGTGTTCAAGCTGGTCAAATCGTGCACAGAACTAAGACATTCGTTACATTGAATAATTCACCGCACATCCAACTTGCGTGCCTCGTGGGTGCCTCGCCCAAAATTCTTATGATACGTACCTAAAATCGAGCAAACTATGATTGTAAATGTCAAAACCAGCATTTTTTTTACACATGCCATGCATCACACGAATTGTGACGTGAATGCATCATCAATACTTCATATTGTGTTGTGTATGCTCTTCGTGCCTAATAAATGTGCACTTTTTATGCTATCGCTTATCACCAGCAGTGACATATTTTGGTCTCTGTTATTTTCTGTAAGAGTGAACGAAGTAGACCGAAATGAAGTGAACAGGGTGTGAACATAGCTGTGAATCGGTGTCCGCCTACTAGCATGGTTACTGGCCGTAATGCCCACCATAATGCATGGAACGGGCAGCATTTCACACGTTGGCACGTTTCTTATCACAAACAAGTCCGGAAACGAAATGCAAGATGCGCTTATGTTCGCTAAATCGTCTTTCTCGACATGTTTGCGAGAAGGGCGAGAAGAATAGGCCTCAGGACAAAGGTCAATTTGGGTCAGGGTCATGAAAATTTAAGTTAACATGTACAATTGATCAATACGATAGTGTGGCAATTTTCAGCGAGGTCTGCCGCCCTCACGATGGTTATTAATGAAAAACTGAGGGGCTATTTTGACCCCGCCCCCTGCAAGTGCCGGATAGACGCTCTCAAAAGCAGCAGAAATGTATGCTATACGAACGAGTCGAGACTGAATTTGCCCCCCCCCCCACAAACACACACACACACCAACCGTAACCGATACCGTCAGTCTCCGAAACTCCGCTCTGGGCTCAGGCTCACACGGTCCTTGCATACCTACGGGCAGCTGTGCTGCTTGGCTGGAATCCGTTCCGGCCCCTCCTCCCCATTCAGCGGCTGCTGCCAGGCAAACTCTGCAGGTTTTCTCTCCAGAATTATGAGCTACCTACTTCTAGTCAACAAGTCACAAGTAAGTATAAATTGTTTCATTGTCAGCAACAACAAAAAAGACAAAATAAGGCTGTGATAAAGCCTAATATTACAGTCCCACAAAATGCATGCATCACAAAGCGGTAAAACTGTCAGCTCTAACCCTATGATTCTATTTCTATTCTATCAAACCGGTAACGGCATCTATGGGGAACTCTGTAACCTCGGTTTTTCTGTACGGTTTATTTCAAAAACGTTAAATTTTGCCGTTGTTCGTTGCCCCGGAGGCGTCTAGAAAAGGGCTTTAGAAATTAAAGTAATAAATATAAAGGGCATCAACAACTTTCCTTGCACCTCCTCCATAGTTCTATCAAAAGAGCACAAGAAGATATAATCCCGATAGCGCACAAACTTGTTCCAAACACGGCTGCATCATTATTAGGATTCTCCGCAAAATAGGTCTTCAGGGACCAGAAAATTTTCTGATACCAAAACGGTTTTCTCCCACTTTTTTGCATTCTACAAGAAGATAAATTCATGCTGCTTACTTTTATAGCTCAATAATGCAATTTTCATGGCTTGGTTCAAAATATTATTGAATTTCCTGTTTCTCCGACCGGAGAATAAAAATTGTTTATTTCGTGGTCACTTCTCTTATATTCTCCTTAAAACTATTGCACTTAGCACCCCCAGAACTTAGTTTTTGCCACAAATTTGCTTTATTTACCTTGTGTATCAGTTATAGGCTATTTCGTTGCATATAAATAAGATTTTATGATAATTTGGTCCGTCCATCGAAGTTGACATCGCCATGTTTCTTCTGCTGTGGCGTCAGCTGATCAATCATAGACTGAGCCGGATCGAGCCATGTGGTCGCGGCAGTGCATCAATTGGTGTTGTCTGCTATTAATTGGTTGGATTGTAGTTTATATCTGATTCATGTTTGCCCTTTTTTTGCCCGGACTCATGGTAAACAGAACATTGATCAGTGCACATGACTGCATAATAATTAAATATTTAAGCAAAGCACAAGATGAAAGCGGTTGGAGTGAGCTGCCCAACTTGTCAGAAGTTTGAGTTATAGTTTCGGTGAGAACCGGCGCGATCGTCAAAATTGAAAGGTAAGTTAAGTACAATAGTTGTATCCGGAGTAGGTACCTATGCAGTGTCGGATCTGGGCTGGATGATTAACCCGCGTCCCGTAGGGAGGAACGAAACGCCCCCCTCCCCGTCCTTTTCCGTAGATATCTCCTAAACGGCTGCAGATATCGCCACCAAACTTTCAGGACCCCTCCGGGCATCAATTTTACACATTGTGATCAAAAAATTTTCCAGAGGCTATGATGGGTTGGCCACAAATGGCGTCAGAATGACGTCATGTTCTGCCATTTTCCACAAAAAAGGTTTCGCGAGAAGAACTGTCAGGCCTACAGCTTTCAAGACACATAAAAAATGTTCATGACATAAAAGGTGAAGAATTAACAGGGCTATAAAACTGCTATCTCCGATTTTTGAAATTTTTAATTTTAACCCAAATTTAAAAAGTAATTTTTGGATACAATAGCTAAAAAATCCCAAAAGCTTTTCAAATTTCGAAAAAAAAACGGAATATATATAATAGAACCTACCGTCTTCTATCCACATACCAAATCTCAGATCGTTGCCTCTTTGTGGCCAGGTTATTTCGAGAAAACTGTTCAAAAATGATGACGTCAAATTTTCAAACTCAATTTTTAGCAATTCCAGACCACGTAGCGCAAAACAAAGACCACCAGTAGACTCCCCGTGACGAGCTGCTTCGGATCGATACCAATTTTATGCAAAAATATCAACTTTGAAACTTGACCTTATTTGACCTGACCTTGACCTGACCTTCACCAGAACATAGCCTAAACTGACCCCAAAGGCTGTCTTACCCACATAATCGCATTTGTCATGTAAAATGGACCATAAAACAAGTATCACACGACATTTTCATTTTTCATATTGTGACCCTCAGTGACCTGACCTCTGTGACCTGACCTGGTATCAGTGACCTAAGATAGCAAAATATGTGTTTGACGAACAATTATCCACCGATGATTTACAATAACATACCAATTTACTCGATTTCACAACACATTTCTTGAAATGCCCGTAAACGGTGAAAATGCGACCTTTGGCCTGAACTGTGACGTAATCGGTTGGACCGAGGTCAATGAAATTGGGTCACAAGGTAGTTCACCGTTGGGGCTATCCAACGCCGTTTGAATTTTGAAAATCAGCCGGTAAATTTCCGAGATCCTAGAGGAGAGGGGTCGAAACCAGGGATGCGGAGCCGGAGCCGGAGCCGGCATATTTTGCCCGGAGCCGGAGCCGGAGCCGGAGCCGTGAAACAATGTAGCCCGGAGCCGGAGCCGGAGCCGGAGCCGTCAAAAAAGGGGGCGACTCCGGCTCCTTTTCTTAAGAGGAAACAATTATTTACAGAGGTCGGTTTGACAGTACAAGGCGTAAAACAATGTGGTATTCAAAATAGCCTTGTTATACAAATACAGAAGCAACGTGTACCAATCCCATCGCCTTTTTTCTTCCACCCGTATTTAATTGATCGCATAGGGGATGTACTGAGTAGAAGCCGGAGCCGGAGCCGCCGGAGCCGGATCATTTTACTCGGAGCCGGAGCCGGAGCCGGAGCCGCCATGACATTTCACCCGGATTGTCTGCACTATGTAGGAGGGCATATCCAGGAATTTTGGTGAACATATATTTTTGCAGCCATTAACGCGGTGTTCCCGTATGGTGGACTAAACATGGGCACTGGTTGGGTAGCCCATGTAATGGGGTGTAGGTGGGCTGGATGTGGGCAGCCATATGGGGCCCACGTGTGCCCCACATGGTATCCATCTTGAGTCCATGTGGGCCAGCCCTGGTGGGCCCCACCGTTTGCCCAGGGACAAATTAATGTGGGCCCCACCAAGTGGCCCACCTTGGCTCCATGTGGGGCCTTGGTAATAATGCTGACTGGGATCAGCCATCGACACAACGAAATGCTGGAGGAAATGTACCACTTTTAACATGGTTTTTGAACTGGAATAGCAGTTTTGCAGCTTGAGTTGAGACTAGCAATCCTAAGCTCGTAATCCTAAGCCGTAATCGCCACGCCATATGTGGAAAGCTTTTGGTGTCAATACAATACAATACAATACAATACAATAGCACAAATCAGGAGCTTTTACAGCCGAGCGATCACCCCAAAGATATTCCATTTATCGTTCCGAAATTAGTGTCTTACGCAGGAATGTGGTGTCTTACGTAAGAATGCGGAAATTGTAGCCACCTGTCGCAGGGGCCAAGCTCAGCCAATCAGCGTGCAGTTGGTTTTAAACTACGCAATATGATTGGTCAACGCGTAATCCTAAGCTTCCGCGTGGAACACTATTTTATAGCCTCTACCAAAGATGGAATATAGTTCTTCCTATATGAAAATATTATAAAAAAAAACTTTGTAAATATGAAATATTTTCTTTTCTGATCATTACCTATAAGCCTAAAAATCGCATAACTGTAGTAACAACTAATTTGAGAAAAGTGGTATATTTCCCTTAATTTCCGACTCTCCTCGACTGCACCGAACACACAGCACAATTTTCAATCCCTTCTCGTGTCATAAGAGCGTCGTGTCACCCTCTCTTTCCTCAGATCACAGTCTCTCCCCGACTCTTCGCTTATCTTGTTGTCAGTCAGAGGCATAGTTACCCACAGTAGTCGTATATATTGGTCATATATATCATCATTCATCACCCGTAGTAGATGATATATTGGCGTCATATCGCCTGTGTTGCACCGTGCACGCCTAAATATGCCTAGATATAAGATACTAAGTAGGTAGGTACATGCATATTCACTCGCTAGGGCTAGTAAGTGAACAGTCTCGTTGGCAACGGTGAGGTTCTCGCATTTTTATGAGTACCTACAGCTTCAAATTATTTTTGAAATTATCCTTCCCATCCTCAGACCAACTCATTCGCACCCTCGCTCACAATCTATTCCGGGCTGGTACTCAACCCCCACCAGATAACCGTCGCGGTGGCGAGGACAAGATCTCGACCGATCTAAATTCTCTTCGGGATGGCCCTATATAAGCGATAGAGTGGGCTGTCCAAACGGGAACTCCCGTCCCACCTGAAAGGCCTTTCCTGATACGGCTCACCGTAGCCACTTTCGTCCTCTTGACGGTCTCTGCCGCTGTGGCGCACCATCGATGGTACGTACGGTCCAATGGCTCCGCTCCACCCTATCATGTCATCATCCCACAGCTCCGTAATGACATTTTCAAGCCGAAAGAGATTGCCATTAACAAATCAAAACACTTATCTTTGCATGGCCATCAGTCCTTCCAATAAAAACAAAAACGATTTAAGTTAATTTGCATTCGCTGCGCTGCACTGTAACGAACTTCTACACACAATGTGTCAGAAAAAGATGTTTCATTTTAACACATTCCAATAAATATGGATTGACATGGGAATGCACAAACAGGAGGGGTGTTCACGGGCACCGCACACTGCTGCGTGCGGTGTGTGCGGTGCGTCCAGCAGGCGTGGGGGTAGGGGATGGGTAGGCGGTTCTGACGTCACGGCTGCGTGCGGTGGACGGTCCGCTGTGGCCAGTCCCGACCGGCCACAGCGATCGCTGTGTGCGGTGACGGAAGGCTGACGTAGGGACGAAGTGGGCGGAGCTTCGAGGCTGTGTGCGGTCCGACCGCACACAGGGTCCGTGAACAGCCCAGGATCACAGGCGTCTTCTGGTGGTCGACGTCAGCTGGGTGAGCCTTGAGGGCTCTGGATCAGGAACAGCCGGGAAGATCAGGCGAGGCAGGACTAGGAGACGCCCATTTGTAGGTCCCTGTCGGAAGGCCAGTCAGCTGGTTAATAAGCAACTCAAGTTCAAAGTTAAAGAAACGTCGAGCTTCAGAGCTCAACAAGGGAAGATGTGTTCTATAAACAACACATTTCCTGTCGAAATCATACTGACAGTAGGTTATCAAGTTTTTATGACCTCTGCCGGCTCGTGCCGAGTGGGTTCTGCCGTTTGCTTTCACAATTTCACATGAATTTTTTCTTGAGAGGAAAACAGGGAAATTTCGTTAATTTCGGATACTGCGGAAGGGGAAAATGGTTCGAATGCACCCCCCCCCCCTCCCCGAATCCGCCAGTGTCACGGCCGCATATCCAATTTTGGGGCTGCTGTTCTCCGGCCAGATTTTATTCTCCGGGACCAGGACTCAAAATGAGAATTCCAACACTGGTCGGTCAGCAATCAGACAGGGTCGGTCGGCAGTTACAGAGGGTTGGTCAGCGGCCAGACGGCTGCGGTCAGCGGTCAGACAGGCTCTCTCGGCGGGGGTCAGGCCCCACCCTCCACCGAAGCAGCGCCGACCGCTGGAGAACGGGTGGCGACTCGTGAGCCGGCCCCTGCGGAGTCCGTTCGGCAGACCGCCGCCCCCCTGCCGGCGCTCTGTCAACAGTACTGGACCAGAAACGGCTGCAGGAAGGAGGCGTGCGGCCAGGTGCACCTCTGCAAACTGTTCCTGGCCGGAATCTGCAAATTTGGACACAGATGCCGCAACGAGCACTCGCTCCAGTCCGAGCATAACAAGGTGAGTTACTGAATGCTGAAATGCCTGTACTGTCGTTCTGACTTTAATAAGAATGGACGACCCGCAGAAATTAAACTCAAACGTGCAATGGGTTTAGTTGGGGTCTCACTTTGTGTGTGTGTGTCTGTGTATGTGCACAGGGTCTACACATCTCTAGCAGCTTTCCATGGCACAAGTTATTGTGCTCGCTCGCTCGTCCCTAAAGGCGCTATCCTGTTGAATAGGTACTATATCTACGTAAACGCTGACTTTGACCGAATTATTGCTGGATATCATATTTCCAACTAATAATAGCATTGCCAACATGGACACACTATGAAAACGTTTCAGGCTGTGTGCATCGAAGAGACGTCCCGGAGCGAGGGGCAGCTTATCGCGGAGCTGCGACGCCGTTTTGCGGAGGAGGGCTTCGCTGACCAGAAGTTCTATCACTCCCATATCGAGATATGCCACAATCAGGCCGGATCCTGTCGAATGAACGGCTGTATCCGGATGCACATCTGCCAGTGAGTACCTCTGCTGCGGTTCTTTTCTCAGAGACGTGCATTATTTTTTCCGCAACTTATTTAAATCGTGCAAGTGTTTGTAGAATCGCAACGTTACCCCGAGAGATAAACACTTAAATAAATCAACATTGAACTTTCCTTCCATACTGTCAAGTGTCACAAGATAACTTTTAAATGAAAAGAAAATTTAATCTCATTTTTATTCGTATCTCGAACCATGTGAAGGCAAGCTTTCATAGGTGTTCAAATTCCAAAATAGCCCCAAACGACATCATTGGGTCAGGTGAATTACAAGTTATACACGACGGTCAGAATCATTGTGTTCATCATTCTACAGCGAGTTTTCTGTTTGTTTTCGCAGGGACTATGTTGTAGGAGCCTGCTGGAACCGAGAGAGCTGTCGATTTAGTCACGTCCTGAGATCTCTGCACAACAGCAGCGTCCTGAGACTCTACAAGGCAGTGGACATGAGCGACCTGGCACTCCTGAATCTGCTGTGTGCCAAGGTCACGCAGAGGGGCGCCAACGGCCCCCAGAAATGAGGACCTGACGCAACGAAAGTCGGACGTGCCAAGGTGGACATGTCCCTAAAAAGGCACCTGTGCCGCCAAACGATGGAACCCTCCGATTTCAAAGAATGCGGAGCACTCATGAAAACTGGCCATCCTTTTATCGGCGAGGCGCCTCGTACTCGTAAGCATCCATTCGAATTTCGAAGTCGAACCCCAATTAATCCGTATCAATCGAAGGGTCTCTGAACCGGCCGCCAGATTGTCTGCCCAGCGCTGGGATCCGTCGTTAGTGTTGACCTTTGACCTGTAGTTGTACAGCGACTGGAGCATGTGAGTCGTGAGGTCAGCCCCGCGACCCGAGCAGTCGGCTGAACTGGTAGATATAAACTGATCGGTAGTGTGCGATATAGGTAGTTGGCTTTAGATCAGAGATCTCTTGCGCCGGAGAGACGAGGTGTGACAATGTATTATTTGTGTCGCACGTACCCTTGCTGCTTTCAGCTTTCGACCTTGTGCAAGGAGGCTTTATCAAGTGTCACGTGTACGGAGCTGACGTAAATACATGAATCACTGTTAGATGCCTGGTAGGTGTTTTAGATCGCCCGAGACTTATCTACGGAGCAAATATCGGCAGTAAAGTGGATTTCATCAGTAACAAACGCCAGGGCCGTTACTAACACATGGGAATTCATTGCCTGGTGGTTGCCTACCCACATGCCAAGTTTCAGCGAAATTGATCCAGTAATTACAGAGTTATTATAGTGGAAACAATTTCACACTTTTCTTTTTGTATTTTGCACGTGCAGTGGGGGTGATCCACATGCATCAAGATAGCTGAAGTTTGGTAAAAGGGGTAGTACAAAAATCACCACAAGTTAACCGCCCCAGCGATTGTCGAGGCATAGGCCTCTCAAAATCACCATGTCAGCAGAACAGCTTGAACACCCTTGACTTTTCACGTGGCACGTGCCACGACAGTCACCTAGATGCATCAAGAATAGCCATTGACGGGGTAGAAGGGATGGGGCTACCCAGCAAAAAAGACCGCAGGCCAATCGGTCCAGCGGTTGCTGAGATATTAGCCTCTCAAAAGCGTTACAGGCCGGGTTGGCCCAGGCCGCTCGTACTGATTACGAGCGAGCGAGCGCAGCGAGCGAAGCGAGTCTTTTCAATATAACGGGAAAATCTCAGTATGAGCGGCCCGGCCCGGCCCGGCCCGGCCCGGCCCGGCCCGGCCCGGCCCGGCCCGGCCTGTAACGCTTTTGAGAGGCTTATATCTCAGCAACCGCTGGACCGATTGGCCTGCGGTCTTTTTTGCTGGGTAGCCCCATCCCTTCTACCCCGTAATTGACTACTTTTGATACATCTCAGTGACCGTCGTGGCACGTGCCACGTGAAAAGTCAAGGGTGTTCAAGCTGTTTTGCAAAAGTAGTGATTTTGAGAGGCTCATATCTCAGCAGCCGCTTGGGCGATTGACTTGCGGTAATTTTTATAGTGTAGCTGCATCCTTTCTACCAAAAATAGGATACTCTCGATGCATGTGGGTCACCCCCAGTGCACGTGCAAAATACAACAATAAGAGGTGTCAAATTTGTTCCCATTTTAATAACTCGGTAATTACTGGGGCGATTTCGCTGAAACTTGGCATACAGGTAGGCACCCACCAGGCAATGCATTCCCATGTGTTGCGGTTAGGGTGCTACTGCACGTGCGCACGTGCAGGGGGCGCTTCCAGATCTCGAGAACGGCTGGGCCGATTGCGCTCAAATTTGGTACACGGTTGGAAACCGGTTAGTAAGGTGCCGTGCAAGTCAGTTTGGACCCCGTTTGCACGTGCGCACGTGCAGAATCCCGCTTCCAGATCTCAGGAACGGCTGGGCCGATTGCGTTCAAATTTGGTACACCGCTAGCAACCGGTTAGAAGGGTGCTTTGCGCAAACCCGTTGGAAGTACCCTCTCGCCCTTCCGCACGTGCAGGGCTCACTATCTCGCTCGCTCGTTCTTCGCCCAAAAGGCGTTTTACTGGTATTTTTTTCGTTATATTGAAAAGACTAGCTTCGCGCTTCGCGCTCGTTCATAATTATATTAAGCATGGAAAACATACAGCCGATTTCTTAGTACCTACCATAAGTGCATCACTTTAACCAGCATAACCCCCAGTCTCCAACACTGACAGAACTACCCACCCACTCCCCACTCTTTCCCCTCCCTCCATCCTCTCACCTCAAAGACCGGTTCTCCAGTAAGACGGGCGAGCGCGGCAAACTCAAGTATCATCGTTCCGGCGCAGGCGGTGCACGTTTCACGAGAGTTGGTCAGCTGCGGAACATTCATCCCGTGCAGGAGGTTTATCTGTGGGCATAGCAAACGGTCAGAGGTAGAGGGAGGAGAGAGAGAGAGAGAGAGAGAGAGAGAGAGAGAGAGAGAGAGAGAGAGAGAGAGAGAGAGAGAGAGAGAGAGAGAGAGAGAGAGAACGGAGAGGAAGGAGGAAGGGAGAATGAGAGAAATACGAGACAATGTAGAATAGATATGGAAATTCTTTATATAAAAGCTCGCATTCATTCATTTTTTCCCACTTATTCGTTCCCTCTCAGTACACTTCCCCACAAACTCCTCACACGCAAACGCCACTGCTCGTGTCAATCAAATACCCTGACATCGATACCCATACGCATGCACACAAAGGTCGATAGTGTGACATGGTGCTCAGGTGGTCTGGGAATTCGCCGGTCCCCGCAACGAAGGACCGTGGTTCGAACATCGAGCGAGCAATCGATACACCACTGAGTGGTCTGACGAGGGTTTAGTAGTTCAAACGGGATCAAAAGCATGTTCCTCATTTAAGCAAAATAGCTTCCGGATGTAAACAGCCTTCGGGTTCTGGGATCGGTATATGTAACAATAGGTGGAGAAATCCCCCTCCCCCACGCCACACAGGTGTCTTGGTCAGGTAAGTTCAGTGGTAAAAAGTAGCGAAATAGTCGGTAATCGATAAAAAATAATGCGACTAAAAATAACTTGATTATCGAAGCACATTATGTCGATTGCAACAAAGATAGACACAAAGTAATGACAATATACGAATAACCCGCGAGTTGCTGGGGGGGGGGGGGGGGGCGTTAAACGCCCCCACTTTTTTCGCCGGGCCATAGCATAAAAACGGCGCGCCGCATTTTGGGTACCTGTAGGGAATTGATTGAAGTTTATTGTGACGAAGTTTCAAAAAAATCGGTCGGAAAATTTTTGAGATATCGAGGTTTTAGTGACGTCATGATTTCTGAGTTTTCGACCAAAAACGGCATATGTTCAAAAAATCATATAAAATCACAGAATATACATACAGACATGCCGTAAACGCCATAAGACTGCCAATACCTTGATCAATCAAATGGCTATCTTCGATTATTGATTATCGTTCCGCATTTTCCATAATCTTGAACTGAATCTTGGCAATTTTTCGTGACTACTTCACGACCATGATACATGCATTTCTTAAATTGAACTTTTTGAGCCAAACACGTACACATATGATAAAATGAATGTCACCATCGTGTTCTACGCCCGAAATTACCTATAAAACATGTGTCACAGGCTGCGAATATCAGTTTTGATTTTCGGGGATCTACCCGGTTGACCTGACCTTGACCCTGACCTATGCTTGACTGACCCCTACATGGAGCTGACACTCTTGTAGGCCTTATATGATGGATTGCACACCGATTTGACAGAGTTTATGACGAGAGGCGCCCATTGCGAAGTCCTGAAGTCCATGCTACTGAAAGCCCGATTTCAGGTGTTTGACCGGACCTTGACCCGACCTGTGACCTCAAAATTCAACTTAAAAGTACTCATCTGAAGCGTCTCGTCGCGCTCTTTCGTTTGCCGCCTCGTGCGTTTCGCTGCGCCTATTGGTTCTCGAGTTATCGGCTGGGGGCGTTTAACGCCCCCCCCCCCCCCAGCAAACGGTGGGTGGCGAAATACCCCAGCAACTGCCGGGATAACAAGGTTAAATTGGCCAATATTCGGTCGTGCTGAACGATGAATAACCACCAAAAATTCACCTGTGAGTGACTTTGATCAATTGAAAAGCTGTCAAGAGATAAAAACCCGTACAAACGAAGCCATATCCTCATGAACTAATTGGCCGAGTTCGAACCATTTAAAGTGAGGGAAAAAGAGCAACAAACCAATCTAAAAGACACAGCACCTTACCAAATGTCACCTAGCAAACCCATCTCACCATCCCCAAGCAGCGGAAGCATCAGCATGCATTCTTCGTCGTCCAGCTCAGGCAAAATTCCATCCGATCCCCCAGTGATCCATCTCGCTTGGCTCAAACTGTTCCACCGGGTAATGTCGTAAGTGGGAGTCGCGAGAGGTCAGCCCACCCCGGCCTCACACCCACCCCGAGAGACGTGCTGAATGAAACATGGGGTAGACAGAGAGCTGGTGTCTACAATGGCAACTGGATGGCACTTCACACTCGTCCCGAGGCACATACGCCGGCTCTTCTAAAGGGAGGGTGAATTGGAACACACCTGGACAGTGACGTCTATTCGTACATCAAAGGCCGCTGCTGCTCATTGTTCTACTGTCTTCAACGCGTATTTTTCGTTTATCAAGGACTTTTAGTGTGTCCCATACAGTAATTGGGCTGCATTCCGAAATGTGGCTTCAAAGATGTATTTTTGACCCTTTACTTACTATGCCTCGTCCCGCTAGAATAACAAACATCCCCACCATTGCAATATTGACTAATATAGGTTGCCCCTCATATAATAAATTGCGTTAGAATTAAGCAAGTAAACGTGCATTTCAAACTAACTTTATGCCTAATTTAAAGTTCATATGTGATATAATTTTCAACTTATTGACCAACAGAACTATTACTAAGATGGGTGGGCCAGAATCTAAATAAATGCTAGCTCATAAAGTACATGAGCTGAATGGGGAGGGTAAGAGCGATAGCGAGGAAGAGAGAAAGAAAGAGAGGGAGAGGGAGAGAGAGAGAGAGAGAGAGAGGGAGAGAGAGAGAGAGAGAGTCGGAGACCGCTCGCCGCTCACAGCAGCCGTCTCAGTCTTCCCTAACGCACTGCACACACTCCACCTACCCTGGGATGCGGGATGCCCGTGGACGTGTTGAAGGCGGGCAGCAGGCGCAGACCCAGCTCCTTGGCCTTGTCCAGCAGCTCGCCCTGGTACCATGCCATCCGCCCGAGACGGTCCCGCGCGTACTCGGAGAGAATGTGACCAGACAGCAGACCGCTGGATAGAAGGGAGAGAGGGGTCAGATATATACTGTGGGTCAGACTAAAACACACACACAAGGAAACTCAGATGGACAAGCAGAGTAGAAAAGGTCAGATAATAGGACACAATAGCAGTCGTGACATTTAGTGGGACTATGTACTTCAGCTTTAAGTTTCATTCGCGGACAAGTCACTAAGGAGTTATGCCAATTTCACGTTGTTTAGTAGTCTACATTTGACTTCTGAATAAGACTCCACAAAGATAAATTGGTGAAGAGTCAGTCATCATCGCAAAGATGGACAGACAGACATAAAAGAAAAACAGATAGTCAAACAGTCCAGGTTGACAAACACTCTACAGGCTGACTGATGAACAGACTGACAAACAAACAGATCAGACCAACAAACAGATCAGCGTATCCCTACCCGAGCATGCGGATGTTGGTCTCGAAGACCGAGACGACCAGGTCAGCATCGAGCCGGACGTCTCTGATCACAAGTCGAACGGCGTGCTCAAGCTCGTCCAGTTCGCCGAGCACCTGTCGACAGAGATTGGGAGAGATTAGAGGGAGAGAGAGAGAGAGAGAGAGAGAGAGAGAGAGAGAGAGAGAGAGAGAGAGAGAGAGAGAGAGAGAGAGAGAGAGAGAAAGAGAGAGGGAGGGAGGGAGGGGGAGGGAGAGGGAGAGGGAGAGGGAGAGGGAGAGAGGGAGAGGGAGAGGGAGAGAGGGAGAGGGAGAGGGAGAGGGAGAGGGAGAGGGAGAGGGAGAGGGAGAGGGAGAGGGAGAGGGAGAGGGAGAGAGAGAACAGAGTATCATCTGCCGACAGAGGCGGGGACAGAGATCAGCGAGGACAGAGCATCAGCGAGATGGCGGGGGGAGATGAGAACTTCTCGAACACTTCTCGAGTCACATACCGACTCAGACACACGGAAACAGAGTCCTACTCACCATCAGGGAATCCAGTGAGTCGACCAGAGTCAGCGAGAAACTGTAACGAGCCGGGAAGGCGCCGGTGAATGTCACGAAATAACTAAATATAGATCACACAATAACTAAATATAAAATAAATAAATATAGATCACTGCTCACAAATGTTAGGCACAGCAGCTGATAAGCCTTACTTACAATGTGGTAAGCATTGGTCTTTTATTGGAAGACGAATAAATAGTGATACCAGTCATTCCTAAACGCTATGACAAATTCAGGAGCGACAAACTTAACTCAAAAATTCATCAGATCTCACTCTGGGGAACATTCCAAGAGCAGCCACACATACATAGACCGACCTGTGTATCGTCCTTCCAATGACCAATAATGGCCTTAAGGGCATACACTACCCTCCCTGCACTACAGGATGACTTACTTGCCCAGCGCCTCATCAATGTCGCCTCTGCTGGGCTTTGTGTGTCTCCAGCGGCCCTTGCACGAGAGAGGCATCAGCTCGTCGGCAGGGTAGGCGTTCTCCTGTGGGCATGGAGGACATGGTGTGGGTCACCAGCCTGGGAAGTGCTATTGCCCTTGACAAGAATGAGAGGAAGGTGAACTCGGTGATAGCCACATATTTTATGCTTGTAGCTGTGCGGGGGTAGGACGTATCAGGAGAAAATATAACTATTAGCAAATTTTCTGACACATTGCTGAAAAAATAAGCAAGTTTGGGATAATTTTAGTAAAAATAATTGTATAATATGTTGCATTGACTCCCCTATTACTAACACTTCACAAATCATTAGAATTTGCAATGTTTAGTTATCTATGTATATGTTGCCAGAATCAATCACTTTTGTGTGTCTAAACTGATTCATTGCTCCATCAGCCACCGAGAGCACTAAAATGAGCACAAATGAAATAGCAAAAACTGTGGAAAATCTCCAAAAAAGCCTTCATCAGCATACTGTTGTGAGGGTAATGGCAGCTCAAAATGATGCCAATGAGATCATTTTGAGTCAATCAAAACTTTGATCTATATGTCACTGATCATATAGATCAAAGTTAGACCTTGACCTACATGAATTGAAGCGTTTGAGGCATGCAGCCTGTCCCGTAGCTCAGTTGGTAGAGCATCGGACTCCCGGTAGTGAGAGCCCGGGTTCGAGACGCTCCGGCGCTCGATATATGAGACTCCTGACGGGGATGGTCTGCGGTTGGTGGGAGCAGCCGCAGCCAGTTGAAGTCAGTTGAGTGGGACAGGCCGTGTCCGGCTTTGAAGGGCACGTTAAACTTTGGCATCTAAATTCTCCCGTTACCCGGAATTGCGCGATCGGACGGTAGGGGTCGGGGTCTACGCAACAAGCTCTGCTTAGCGTGGACTCCGGCTCTGTCAATCCGTCCATTCAAACATTCGAGCTAAATTTATAAAAAAAAATGCAGAACTTGCAGAAGTAATCAGCAGTAAGGAAGCTGGGTGTGGCTACACTGTGATGAGAGAGAATAATGGTTCTATAAAACTATACCCTAGGAAACTAGCTAAAAAAAAAACTCCAGACTGCCAATTTCAGCAGGTGTCTGTTCAATCTATGTAGGCAACTACCTTTGAATACTAGCATCCTACATCATTTCCAAGTTCCAACTAGCAAAAAGGTTAGGTACTTTACATACACTTACCATATAAGCATTATATGCATGGAAGAACATCTCTTTGGCAACATCCCTGTGAAAAGAATGGATAAATAAATCAAGCTCATATGGATTAAAACCTCACTGAACTACAAATGACTGAAACGTGGTTTAGGCATTTGTGTTGTGAGTTTCCCTACATGAAAACTATCCCATGATTTACATGTAACTGAAGAGACAAATGGAATGAACACAAGATACTCTAATTCACATATTATTTTATTCATGACTCAGAAATATAAAACATCAACTGCATTTGGGTTCTGTTGCCCACCCACTGGAACACTGTACATAAACATGATACCTACCTATACAAATTGTCAGGGAAAACCTAGTCTAAGTTTCATTTAGTATGTAGCAGAAGAGAAACTGTAACCTTTAAATTTAAAGGGGATGCATACCAAACACACTGCCCAGTGAACTTCACTGCCACATATACCTATAAGAACATCAGAAAATCAGCACACACACTGGTCCCACATCAAATACTCCACACCAGATCCTGATTGATCTTTGTAAAGCCACAATACAAGGAGCTCGATAAGATCGGGTAACACAGGCCATTACCTATGCCTAAAAATCCTGAAACCCCAGGGTAAGGTTAAGTAAGGTAACGTACTGTAAGGTATAATTGCTTACCTGAGATGGTGTTTTTCAGCAGCTGTCATTGAAGATACAAATAAGCTATGGGTCTTTGGAAGTGTGGCATTTATAGTCACAGTTTCAGCAGCAGATGACACAGAGCAATTTATTGTGACAATAATAAGCACACTTAGCCTCAAAAACTTAACCAAAGCTCTGTGCCCTTCTCCATTCATGAATGGCCGCTTCATTATCTTCACTTTATGAATCGAAGTACTGCCTTTTGAGAAATATGTTCAAGATTTGCAGGGCAAGGCCTCATCAAAACAAATCAAATAAATTGTACCAGCACTGACCCACAATTCAAGAGTTCACATTCTGCATTGTCACTATGAAAATACTGATGTATTGACAATGGTTTCCACTTTCAACAAGACTCCATCAACTTCAAGTCCGAATATCACTCAACGAGCCCATCTCCGCAGCTCCGCAGTTAAACACCGCAATTCAAGCCAAATTGAAATACCTCTTTACCCACAACACAGTTTACCATGCGAAGTATAGCAGACAGCAAGTTTGACAAGATTGATAGAGTAAGCTGTACTCGGTAGAACTGGATTCCGCTAAGTTATCCAATCAACAGTACCAGATTTGTCCTTGTGCTATTTCCACCGTCTTCTACTTCTTCTCAAACTCGCAATATTAATTTGTTTACATTTATGACGCACATTGACCGCTTGAAAGAAGCGGCAGGGGCATTCCACGTCAAATCGAACAAAAATCGGCTGTTTTGCACCTTACCATCAGCGATTTCATTATAAATTTGTGAGCGAGTTCCTGTGTCGCCCCGGACATTACATTGATGTTTTTTTGCACATTCTGACCACAGGTCTTATAATATAGGGCATCAAATTTTTACAAAATGTTGCATCTTTATATTTTTGAACGACCATAACTTTGGTTGTACTTGTTTGATTTGAATGAAATAAACCTTACTGTTTAGGTAATTTCTTAAGCATTTGTTTTGAATTGCATCGACTTAAATATATGACCTTGAAATTTGCTTAACTCTGTTCTTAAGCACAAAAATTGAAATAGCAAAAAACACGCCACCTTCGATTTGGCTCATTTTCATATATTTTATTGCCTACCATATTCTTAACAACCTGTGAAAAAATTAGAGTGGGCCATTCATAAGTTTTGAAGAAAATGGCACATATGCAAACGTATGTTAGCACGCGCAGTGGAGGGGGAAGAGTGAATTTCGCCCCACCCCTCCTGTTTTTCGCCAATATCTCATAATATTGATGCGAAATTACTTATGGCTACCTGTCCAGAATTGAATTGCACATCTCATCGTGCAAGCAATAAGAAAATCGGTTCACAACTGTTCTAGTAATAGCGGTGTAAAGTGAACATCCTGTCGCCGCGGCGACGCGGCGACTCGGCAGCCGGCGCCGACCGCTACGCGCCGCCTGAATTGTAGACTGTGCCGGGAGGGAACGGAACGGTTCCGTCTTTACATCGCGCTCCTTACCGCTGATTACGTTCGATTCGCGTCAAATTTTGTGAGAAGACTAAGAAATGTACAGGCAATCTTATGGCGAAAGAATTCTGAAAATAGGTTGGTAAACAATTGAAATATGAACGTGTAAACACAAAATTGTGACTGCTGCGTTTCCCGCGTCGGCCGATCCCGCCTCAGCCGGCGACATGTTACTCTTAGCAGGACTCTAACTGCCATATTTATTATCGGATTAACTAGAAATTCCCCATACATACTCAAAAATGTATGTTCTTTCGTATAGTGAAGATCAAAAGACGTGAAGATATCGTTGCGTGATAATGTTTTCGTTGAATTTATTTCATGATGCATTTCCACACGGCTCAAAATTCACCGCAAAATACCGTTTGCCTGAGACACTTTTACAATGGAACGTGAATGCTTGACTACGATGACTATGCATTTCCATTCTCGCAGAGTTTGGGATATCACTAATCAGCAATCATTCATTTCAGAAAGTGTACACAAGCAAGCATGTCTTGACTCTGTCTTTCAAGGTCACGCGGGGTTGCGTGATGTTGATGCATGAAAACGGCGTTTGCCGCGAAAGTTATGAATGGCCCACTCCAATTTTTTCACAGATGGTTAGGAACATTGTGACGGACATAATATGTAAAAATTACTCAAATCGAAGGTGGCGTGTTTTTTGCTATTTAAATTTTTCTGTTTTAATTCAAGGTCAAATGCATTTAAAGGTCACTTCAATTTAATTTTATAATTAAAAATCAAAGCCTTATCAATTGCCTACAAGACCCTGTTAATATCATTTTGATAGCAGAAAAGGAACCAGAGTTATAAGCATTTAAAAAAATGATGTGTGGCATTTTTGGCTATATTCGATGACCTATATCTCGGCGATACGTTATCAAATTTCGAAAATATTACACGTAACTCAGTTTTGAACCATGCCCAGTCTGCCTACAAATTTTCAGAAAAATCGAAGGGGATGACGGATTTCGGTGTTTGATTTGACGTGGAATGCCCCGGCAGCGAATTGAAAGATAGGGTATCCCAACAAATGCACGTACCCACAAGCACTCGAATAATACAATGCATAAGCGTAGGAACCATGGGTGCAAGGGTGCAGCTGCACCCACAATGTTTCTCCAGTGGGTGCAGACAATGTATTCTGCACCCACAATAGTCTGAACCAAAAAACCCTTTTCTCATCAACACTACTTCCCATGCACCACGGCAAATTTAGGATATGCTGCCCACTATCCATCTTTCGAAGCATTTCCTATTGTGATTGTCTTCAAAACTTACATTTGTGCTGAAGAAAAAAAGAGAAATGGAGCATGTGATTGAGCACATACCAGGGGCGGAGCTTCCTATACAGTTGCTGTTGGTGGGGCGGCTGCCCCACCAACTTGTCATCATTCCCCACCAATAAACGTTTTGCCCCACCAACTTACGCTGATTTGTAGGGCTTTGTTGCTTAGCAAACCAATATTTTCGCATTGAGGAGCTTTGAAATGTCGTGTAATGCAAAATATTATCTCTGTAATGAAAAAAAGAGACTCAATGTTGCACTTCACCTAACTTAACAATCGGACATTTAAAGACATGATGTGGAGATGAATTGTGAATTAAAATGAAATCGGACTTACTCCACAAGAGTTCGTTGGGTCGGAGCTTTCGAATTGTATTACAATTCTTCGTCAGCGAGAGTCGTATCGGATGTTAAGATCGAATCGAAGGTACAGTGCGGATCGAACAAATATGGGTCGGACAGGAGGGTCTCTGAGGCAACTAGTTGGTCTTGACCACTTCTCTTGATGATAGAGACGGAGCAGTTTCCTAGGTCGACAGACCTTCTGAAAAAGTATCGCGAGCTCTATCAGGAAATGCGGGCACAGTTTATTGCCCAGGGCCTGGACCGTGACCCTATGTCTGACCCTGAACTAGCGAGATACCTGTCTCGTGGGGGCAAAGGGAGCAAGTAGGGAAGTGGAGATGGAAGTTTTTTTTTCTTACTGCCTTGTGTACAACGCGTGACCTGCAGTAATACATTAGTGGTTTATAAACAGTTGGTCTTGAAATAAACATACAACCAGTAAAACGCCTTTTGGGCGAAGAACGAGCGAGCGAGATAGTGAGCCCTGCACGTGCGGAAGGGCGAGAGGGTACTTCCAACGGGCTTGCGCAAAGCACCCTTCTAACCGGTCGCTAGCGGTGTACCAAATTTGAACGCAATCGGCCCAGCCGTCCCTGAGATCTGGAAGCGGCATTCTGCACGTGCGCACGTGCAAACGGGGTCCAAGCTGACTTTTGCACGGCACCCTACTAACTGGTCCCCAACCGTGTACCAAATTTGAGCGCAATCGGCCCAGCCGTTCTCGAGATCTGGAAGCGCCCCCTGCACGTGCGCACGTGCAGTAGCACCTTAACCGCAACACATGGGAATGCATTGTCTGGTGGGTGCCTACCTGTATGCCAAGTTTCAGCGAAATCGCCCCAGTAATTACCGAGTTATTAAAATGGGAACAAATTTGACACCTCTTATTGTTGTATTTTGCACGTGCACTGGGGGTGACCAACATGCATCGAGAGTATCCTATTTTTGGTAGAAGGGATGCTGCTACCCTACAAAAATTACCGCAAGCCAATCGCCCAAGCGGCTGCTGAGATATGAGCCTCTCAAAATCACTACTTTTGCAAAACAGCTTGAACGCCCTTGACTTTTCACGTGGCACGTGCCACGACGGTCACTGAGATGTATCAAAAGTAGTCAATTACGGGGTAGAAGGGATGGGGCTACCCAACAAAAAAGACCGCAGGCCAATCGGTCCAGCGGTTGCTGAGATATAAGCCTCTCAAAAGCGTTACAGGCCGGGCCGGGCCGGGCCGCTCATACTGAGATTTTTCCGTTATATTGAAAAGACTCACTTCGCTCGCTGCGCTCGCTCGCTCGTAAACACTGGGAAACACGTGAATAATACCAGTAAAACGCCTTTTGGGCGAAGAACGAGCGAGCGAGATAGTGAGCCCTGCACGTGCGGAAGGGCGAGAGGGTACTTCCAACGGGCTTGTGCAAAGCACCCTTCTAACCGGTCGCTAGCGGTGTGCCAAATTTGAACGCAATCGGCCCAGCCGTTCCTGAGATCTGGAAGCGGCATTCTGCACGTGCGCACGTGCAAACGGGGTCCAAAATGACTTTTGCACGGCACCCTACTAACCGGTCCCCAACCGTGTACCAAATTTGAGCGCAATCGGCCCAGCCGTTCTCGAGATCTGGAAACGCCCCCTGCACGTGCGCACGTGCAGTAGCACCCTAACCGCAACACATGGGAATGCATTGCCTGGTGGGTGCCTACCTGTATGCCAAGTTTCAGCGAAATCGCCCCAGTAATTACCGAGTTACTGAAATGGGAACAAATTTGACACCTCTTATTGTTGTATTTTGCACGTGCAGTGGGGGTCACTCACAATAGATGAAGAGTATCCGACCTTTGGTAGAAGGGATGCAGCTACAATATAAAAATGACCGCAAGACAATCGCTCAAGCCGCTACTGAGATATGGGCCTCTCAAAATCACTACTTTTGCAAAACTGCTTGAACACCCTTGACTTTTCACGTGGCACGTGCCACGGCGGTCACTGAGATGTATCACAAGTAGTCAATTACGGGGTAGAAGGGATGGGGCTACCCAGCAAAAAAGACCGCAGGCCAATCGGTCCAGCGGTTGCTGAGATATAAGCCTCTCAAAAGCGTTACAGGCCGGGCCGGGCCGGGCCGGGCCGGGCCGGGCCGGGCCGCTCATACTGAGATTTTTCCGTTATATTGAAAAGACTTCGCTTCGCTCGCTGCACTCGCTCGCTCGTAAACAGGATGCACACTTACTAGAAAAAGCCTGTAAAATGGGTATAAAACACACTAGTAAAATATCTAATACAAAAATATAGGCAGGTGGGTAAAAATACAGTTAATGACATGTTAATGACAGTTAATGACAGTTAAAACTAGACTAAGATATAAAATATCAAAATGATAAAATCTATAAATGAACTTTTAACGGCAGAAACGGCGAATAATGGCCTGTCTTGCAGCAGGGCACCAGAGTTGCGGTTCACATTAGCGTCATTGGGTGACACTAGGACGGCTTCCCGCCGTCCCACGGTACGAATGTAGGCCGATTCGAGAAGGAGTCTCATCTGGTGGTGGCAGGCACGGTTCAGGATTTTGGCGTCGTCGAAGGCCGGCGTGCAGTCCCGGTGCGTGCTGAACGCTGAAGCGTTGGCTCTGGAGCGGACCGAGCCAGCCTTGGGGTACCTTTTTGTACATCAATTTTGGACAATGTGTGAATTTTTTGACCCCAGATCATGTCAGGTCAGGTCACCAGGTCAAGTTAACTGACCAAGCCTAAAAAAAGTTTGCAATCATGTCCAGCCTGCAGTGTTTGTCAGAAAGGTTTCAAACTTGGTGGATTGCATGATGTTATGGGCGCCTACAATTTGTATATCTCGGATTTTTTATATCCGTGACCTAAGGTCAGGTCAGTGGCGTGACCTTACCATTATAAGTCAATGGAGAAAAATGAAAATGCCTCTAGATCCGTGTGTACGCATAGGAACAGTCCAAATATTTTAGAATCACAATGATTTGGACCACCCGTGATGACCAAGGTGTCATTTTTGCTGATAGCCTCTACAAAGGTCATCCGAGGTCATTTGAGGCTACAGACAGATTTTTGCCAATAACTCGCGATTGGAAAGAGATAGAACGCTGGGGATGGTCTCATTGTGTTTGTCTTGTTGAGACGCATCGACTGATATACAACATGACCTTTTCCGGTCAGGTCACGACCTTGACCTGAGGTCAAATTTTCAAGTTGACCTTTCGAGGTCAACTTATAGTTCATTCGACGCGTCTCGGCGAGAGGAACACGATTCTGGCAATAGAAATGTCGTGGCTTTTTAAGTCAAAAGTTATTGTCGAAAAACACTTTTTGTAAAAACAGCTATTTTTGGAGTTTTTGCCCTCTGGAGGCTAAACCGCTGACCTGAGGTCAATTTTGATGATGACCTTTTCAAAAGAAGAGTTTAAAAGCTATCGATTGCTGTTCCATGCGTTTTTCTAGCTATCATAGTTCCTGAGATAAATGCATGTTTTCTGAAAAATATTATGACATTTGGCAAATTTTGACCTTGGATGACCTCCAGTGACCCCAATATTGCTCTAAGATGAAAATGACCTGAATACTTTCAAACGCACGCATCGAGAGCTATCGATTGCTTTTTTCCGCATCTTTCTAGCCCTCTTAGTTTTGGAGTTAGAGGTGGGTGGTAACATATGCCCCCCCTCACTAGGGCGAAGTTGGCTAAGACCGCCACTGGGGCGCGGGTTAACAAGAAGCCTGAAGACGAAGAAGCCTGAAGACGAAAAATAAAATAAAATTTAATAAAAATAAAAATAAATTATACCAGCTGCACCGCACCCCCAAAAATAATGGGCAAAAATCAAACCGAAGAGCTTTTTTTGGAGGGGGTACAACACTAGGCCGCGACCTGTGGCCCCTCCCTGAGCAAAATCCTGGCTACGTATGTGATAAATATGTAAAATAGAAATATGGAAACGAAAAAAAGGAAATAGAAAAATGCAGCCAGCCAGCCAGCGAGGTACAAGATCCTTCACCATATCCTACCTACCGTTTTTTTCTTCAATACACATGCTTATTCAATAACAAATTTGTTAAATAGGTCATTACTAGCTTTCACTCATATTCCAAAGCACACCAGCATCAAGCATGAACCTCTGACCTCTGGGTAATGTTCGCAGCCTCCGACCTCTGGTTCGCGCCTACTGAACCAAAACGCCGTCTTCAGACATGCATTCAGGTAATCAGTGCAACCCATTTCAATTTCTGGCAGCTGTACGAATAAGACGTAGCTTACAATGTAGGTGTGATGAGCAAATAAATAGAGAGAGAGGGAGAGGGAGAGAGAGAGAGAGAGAGAGAGAGAGAGAGAGAGAGAGAGAGAGAGAGGGAGGGAGGGAGGGAGGGAGGGAGGGAGGGAGGGAGGGAGGGAGGGAAAGAGGGAGGGAGGGAGGGAGGGAGGGAGGTAGAGGGAGGGAGAGGAAGAGAGGAAGTGAGAAAGAGATAGAGGAAGTAAGAGTGAGAGAGGAGAGAGGGAGAGAGAGGGAAAAGAGGCGGTATCGGATCCCCATAATGCCGAAGCGAAACCAGTAACCATTACAGCACCCAATATGTCTGCCTTCCCAGCCTCTACGGGGATCCGTCTGCATCTCATATATTCTTGTTAACCACGATAAATATCACCTTACTAAGCTGCCCCGACCGTTCACCTCGTTTCCCGACGGTGAATCGATCATGTGGCGACCAATATGCCGGATGGACGTAGGTCGTAGGCCTACCCAGCTTGTTGCCATTCCTTTATTGTGTTATAAGAAAAATAGACATCTCCTTTGCAGATGCCAGATATCACGTCGCTATGTCGCTAATCATAGGAACATACAAGGAAACAGGCTGAATGAACGGCCCTTTGAGTTGTTACGAAAATTGAGTAGGTATTCCAGGCGCATCTCGAAATCGTGTCATGCGGTACAGCATACCATTCCAGGCATATACTGGTGCTGCCACCCTGCCACCTATGGTCAGCGCTGCGAACTATACAGCCACCGGGAGCCTTGCGGCGCAGTATACCATCGCAAGAAAGTACCATTTCTGCCATCTATGGACGGGAAACTAAACTAACTACAGTGAGCACTGCGGTGCAGTATACCATTGCAGGCGTGAGCGTCTAATGCCATCTAGCGACAGCGATGGTCGTTCATTCAGTATGTTTGGGATATATCAATGTGGCGTTAATCGTGACATGCAGCATAGGTATATCTGGAAGTGAATACCAAGTGAACATCATGTTACCGGGTGGCCGAAAAACATTTTAGTAAGCTTTATGCAGCCTTTCTTATTACTTTTCGGCTGCTTTCGACAATTACAGCTATCACAACGGCAGGTTTCGAGAGAGGCCTGGGCCAGATTGCTGCTTCGCATGTCGTGTTGAGTGTTGGCCTGAGGCCCAGAAAGCGGCAGCTATTTTGTTGTAGTCGGGCCGGTTATGGGCAGCCTTACAAACCACCTCTTCGAGAAGAGTTCCGTGTTGAAGGGACATTAGAGGTAGGTGTTCGTAAGTTGGTGGGCCGAGCCAAGGTTTGAGTTTAGCAGCTAGGCGCTCCCTACCTCCTCCGAATGTCCAAAAATGCCGCGTTAGCCTTGGATTCATTGAGGATTCGATGTTAACCCGCGCACCGACGGGGGGGGGCGGATATCCGCCCCCCCCCCCCCCTGAGGTTTTTCGCGAATAGCGGGAAAACCGCGGTGCGTAGCGCCGCGAAATTTGGTATGACTATAACGTCATCAATTTTACACATGGTGTGCAAGTTTGAACTTCCTGCCTTTTAAGGTCAGGTCACCAGGTCACTTTGAATGACCCAACCTCAAGTCACTTTTTTGCAACTTTGTCACCGTGCCACAGCTACAGTAGATGTCGGAGGCCTTTGAAAGTCGCAGGATATTATTAGGTCATTAGTAGCTACAATTTGTATATCTCGGAATTTTGATATCGGTGACCTAAGGTCAGGTCAATTTCGCGACCTCCCCATTATAAGTCAATGGGGGAAAAGTCAACTCCCTGTTTTTACCACTAAAACGGGTCGGAATGGCCCCATATACTATACATGACTTCATATACAATCAACCTTCACTACCTTGAGGTCTGTTTTGCTGTTGGGCAGCTGTGAGGTCATGTGACGTCATCAAAGGTCACCAAAGGTTTTTGGCCAATAACTCCGTACAGGAACAAGATACAGACGCGTGGATGGTCTCATTGTGTTCAGCTCGTCAAGACGCATCGAATGATATACATGATGACCTCGAGGTCACGTGATCTTGACTAATTCGAAAGTTATTCGAGAAAAACTCTCTCCATATCTAGCGCCGCCATTTTGACTTTTTCGACCCCTGTGACGTCATCTTTGACCTGACCTGAAAATGACCTTAGTAAAAATTGTAGATCTTGGCCGTGCGTATCCGATGCCTTTTACCGCTTGTCGCTATCTTGCTTCGTTCTCGAGATCTCAGGGGGGGGGCGGTCATCCGCCCCCCCCCCCCGTCGGTGCGAAGTTGGCGCAGACCCCCGTCGGTGCGCGGGTTAAAACAACAGCGGTGGTACAAGCGGTACGAGTGTAATTGTTTTAGCGCATATTTGTTACCAGAAACCAAGCATATACCACACTTGCCGCGGACAATGATCTGCTGTCACATGGATGGCCTTCTAAAACAGACACTTTTTGAACGATTGCTCCATTCATGTAAGAGCATGTACATAAGTGCTAGTAGTCAATCGTGTTAGATTGGACTTCGTCCAGGTGAAAATAGATAATTAGCTACACCCGAACAGCATTCCATTAAAATAAAAATAAAAAAATTCGCCATCCAATTGTAATAAGAAAACACCTGTGGAATTGTGATAATGCCAAAATATTGTGATGCCCCTTTGAAATCAACTTCACGACGATAATTATCAATCTGATACGAAAAAAAATGTTTCTTTACCTTAGCAAATATGCCAGAAAGAATGCCCTTTGTCTTTTATTGATTAACACCAATGATTCAACACATTAGCACGATTGATGAACAAACGACAATACAAAGAACGAACAATAGTACCTAACGGAAAGTTTCGTCTTTTCTCAATACAAGCACATTATCATTTTACAGCATTCACATGAGCTCCGCCCTATTTTCAGTGAGCACATTATTTATGACAATGCTACTCTTGCTTGGCGCTCCATCTTAGCCGCTCTAGCAATATACATACATAAGGTACACTGTACAGTTGTATGTACATACATGGTTACAAAGGGACATAACAATACTAGGAACACGTATGGAGACATTCTCGTTGGTCAATATTACACTCAAAATTGACAAAAATGTCACAGATACACCACAAAAGATGTTTAGCGACTATACACCTATTTCATAACAACGATGCACCAAAAGTGGACAAATCCTCTCGGAATTATTAACCTTTGGTTGAATCGTAGAACTATCTTAGCAAAAGCGATGCCTCTTTTGGACAACAAACAGCATTTCATTATGCACAATGTGGATACAGCTTTTTCCACCACAACACCACCGTAAAACTATTATGTGGGTTTGTTATTTCATAACAGAGCGAGCTCCGTCGACATTGTGAAGCCTGCCTTACCTACATTAGGGTAGCACAAAAAGGAAACAGTTTACTAGACTCAGCGAGAAATAAAGTGTAACCAGTTCAACTGTTTTCATTTGGTCGTTCCTTACATTTGTGGATCTGCATTTTAGCTGTCTGTAGTTTACTGATGCACTTGTAATCAAGTTTATAGTGATGTTTTTTAATTGATATGGGTAAAGGCACAGATAACAGTAGTACTACAGTAGTAACAGTAGTACTACTGTTATCTGTGGTAAAGGTTTTATATATGTATTACAAGGTATTTCACAACCAGGCTTTGGAAACATCGACAAAACATTAAGCCTGTTACCTATTCACTACAATCTAATTTAGCTAATATAGCTGACCGCCGTGTCACAAGCCCAACCGCACAACCTCATTATGTTTGATAATGTACCAGCTGCGCAAAGAAACCTCACGCATTTTACGAAAAGATCACATCACAGGCAGTGCCAGTGCACTGTCCTGGTGAGATACAGACGCCATCACAACATCACGAGTAACAAACTGTAGCTTCTTTACATATTTCTTGCGCTTCTTTTCCCGAATATAACTAGTACACAAATGTCAGTGGAGCTCCTACAGTAGGACAACTACATTTCGTATACGCAATTGATGAGCCATAAATATGTACAGAGGCCTCTTGCACCAAAATCCTCTTGCACCAATGCTTGGATTATTTTGCATCGTATACACAATCCAAGACTCAAATGTGACAATTGGCGTGTAAAATTTACCAAGCACCTGTAGGATTATGTATTGGGCTATTGCAAACAAATTTACCACCGTTTGATTAGCTTATTCTGAAACCGGTTTTTCGATTCTACCTAGCTAGGTAGTTTGGTGCAAGAGGCCTCAGTACACATAAATAGAATATGCACCATATTACACCTTTTTGCACTCAAAATAGGCATCTTTTCATTCAATTTCGGCGAATTGCATTCAATTTTAGCGATCTCTCATTTGCTTCGAATAGAGGCATTTTGTTTTGTCATATGGGCTCTACTTTGACATCGGGCACACCACATCGATATCAGTCATCATTTCGGCAAGGGGCATTCAATTTAGACAAGGCCTTACGTATTTAGACGTTAGACATGGACTTAGACACGAGACATTCAATCTCGCCATTTTACAATCAAAATCGACATCACTCATTTGATTTAGACATTGCTTATTTAAAAATCGTTGATTAAGCAGTTTTTGAAAAATAAAGAAAAACGACCTGCTGGATGCTGGTCGTCCCAGTCGCTCCCAATCATGGTGCTCAGAACCTTATGTAAATAAAATTTGCCTACAGCACGGCCGGTAAATTCATCCGTACTCCATCTGCATCCTTATCCATCTGATCCTTATGATGCTTCGTTGTTCCGTGCTGATGGTCACCCATTGCACGCATGCAGAGTCGCTCCGACAAAAGCGCCCGTCCCGGGCTACCTCTGGAGCGGCTGTACGCGGTGCCGTGTTCAATTGCAGCGGGCCCGTCGAATGTCAGACGGGTCCTTGAATGCTGCTAACGCGCTTACGAGGCGCCCCACCCAACGCCGGGTCGGGGCCGCCCCGGGGCAGCGGCCGACAACGAGCACCGCCGCGGGCGGCCCACGGCCCGGACCACGACAGCAGCGCGACGGCGGACGGCAACAGCTCAACAGCGGCCACCAGTCAGCCCCAAAGTCAGCGGCGGCAGAGCCCACTAGCTGAGGAGCGGGGGAGGGGCACTCTTACATATCCATGAAAATACGTTATAGCTTTCACATGATAAGACAATTTTATCATAAATTTAAGGTAAATCTATAAAAAAGCCAAACAACCATTGTCTAAATTGATTGTAAAATGTCAAAGTCAAATGCAGTTCTTCATTTACAGCTGACCATTGTCGAAATTCAATGCCCCTGTCGAAATTCGACGCAACAGATCGAATATGAACCGGTGCTATTTAAAATTGATGAAATAATTCGAAATGTGTGAGGTATGTCTAAATGGAGGTAGCTCTGTCGATATTGAATGCAAAGTGTCGAAATTGAATGACCAGATGCCGATTTGTAGTGCAAAAAGGTGTAGAATATGCACCATATTACATAAATTATGGTTGAATAGGATTCTTCAGGTCCAAAGAACAACAACGCATTTAGCGACTTAGCAATAACACATAGCAGCAAGTCGCCGCGTATTATGACTATTCTCTCCCCGACAATTCTTCCACGTTATTACGTATATATCATGGAAAACACAAGACGTCAATAAACACCACAGATGACAAGTCATTCGTAAAGCTCATTGTTCCTCTTCTTCTGTCTTTGTCTTTGTTTCTGAGCTGCCTGCAGCTCGTGCTGCTGCCCCTGGGGCGGTGGCACTAGCTGGAACTGTCGGCGGGCCCCGCCGTTTGATTTGTGCTGCTGATCTATTTGATTTTGGTTGACCCCTAAGCTCTGACTGGTCCGCAGAGAATGTTTCTTTCCGCCTCGATAGTCAGTCAGACTTCCAGTCACTTGAACTCTGGCGTTCCACCAGGCCATGGGGAGAAGAAAGCAAGACAACACAGGGCGTTAGCGACAGGGTCAGTAGTTTACACAACGCCTTACAACTTCAATACATGTATAGTAAAGTGACGCAATGTAAAACACACACATCAGGAAAGATACCACTGTCCTCTTGAAAATTTAGATAGCACCTCTGGTCGAAAGGCAAACGTTATTATTTTCACAGCAGGCTTATCTGCCAAAATTGTCATTCATCATTGAAAATTAATTACCTTCTTGTCGGCGAAGGACCAGCCCATCTCAATGCAGCACAACTAAGCGTCCGTTACGTCTGTTACGTTATATCCGTCACTATAGACCCATCACATCACGTCCATCTCGCCATCCCATCACGTCCGCCCCTCCGTCACGTCACGTCCGTCCTGCCGACACGTCACGTCACATTATTTACTGTGCCTACCTCGGTCTCTGCCGCCGGTGTGAGAGAGTCACCAGTGCCACTGTGTCAACGGATTCGCTCTGCTGGGCTGGGCCGAACCGGTACACCCGCGGACTCCACTGCTGGTGCTCCTGGTCGTTTGCTGATCACACAAACGAAACAAGCGCAGGAAAACTAGAGTCAGATGAGAGTTTGAAACACAGTCTATTTAGTGTACTCATGTATAGGAGACACGACCCACAAACCAAGCAAAAATGCCGGCATACCAGGAAAAATGCGAATTAAATCAACTTTTGGAAGAGGCTGAAATGATGGTCGCGTAATTCTTTTCAGCAATAAAGTTGGGCGTTGTGCTTGGAGATGCAATGCGTTTCAAAAGCATTGTAACAAAGCGCTCACAAATGTAACTCTTTGTTGACATTGTTCCGTGGCTCGCCGCTCTATCTAACCCCACACCCCATCCCCTTTCACCCACCTCTGCCCTCTGTGACAGCCGTGGTGCAGGTTTTCATCGTGAACGACCGTTTCCAGGACACTCTGAACGTGTGCAGTCTCTTCTCGACCTGTTCCACGAACTGTACCGTGGATAGAGTGTAGAGGAGAGGGTTGACAGCCGCGTTCAGAGGGAGTACGAACACCGCCACCCAGGCGTATATCTGGCCACAGAACGGGATAAACGGTCAGAACTTGGTCTCAAAGGTCACAGCGCGATTATGTTCTTACCATGGAATGGACAGACCCGTCACATGACGGTAATACTCATGGATATAAAGGTAATACTTGACGGTACTGGGTTGTCAACTGTTACTGCCTGATGATATTTTGCTAACATGAAGGTTGCAAATTCGGGAAGTTAGGTGGAAGTTTTGTCAAATTATCCATATTCTATATCTCTCACTCTCTCTCTCTCTCTCACTTTCTCTCTCTCTCTCACTCTCTCTCTCTCTCTCTCTCTCTCTCTCTCTCTCTCTCTTCTCTCTCTCTTCTCTCGCTCTCTTCCTCTCTCTCCCTCACTCTCTCTCCGCTTTCCCTCTCCCTCTATCTCCCCTTTCTCTCTCCCTCTATCTCCGCTTTCTCTCTCCTCTCCCTCTCTCGTCTCTCATTCCTCAATGATCAGACGATAAGAACTCCAGTGCAGTACAAATAATCCACATTCCATCACGCATGTCGCCCATCGACACACCAAACATGAGATAACTCCACCTACTATCTACCCTGTCGTAATACGGATACGAATCTAATGACATCGCACTATCATCTTGGCACTATCCACCCGAGGAGAGATCGGACGAGGCTGCAAAAAAAGGAGGCGGCGATTCCCAGGGTGAAGATTCTCCACCAGTTATGACGTCACAGGATCTACCTGAGGCGGCGCGCGGACGCCGCAGAGAGAAGCGATTCCCAGAGCTATGATTGGTTGTCCGTTATGACGTCACAGGACCTACCTGAGGCGGCACGCGAACGCCGCAGAGTGAGGCGATTCCCAGGGCGATAATGGGGAGCCAGCACGCGGCGTCGGTGGCGACGATCAACGTCATCCGTCGTGCCATGGCTCCTGCGGGGCGGGGGGGGGGGGGGGCGGGTGTGTTAGGGCACGGCGTGGTGGGGAGTAGAGTCACGGAGTAGTGTGAACTTTGTGATACCTATCACTCGGGTCATCCACTTCAATTCTGGCCCAAAGCCGCTTTCTGCGTCACGGGATGGCGGGGGTCTTGCGCGGTGGAGCGTCTATCCATTTTAGATGAGCAGTAAGAAGATATTCCTTTCCGTCGTTTCCATCCTCAGCAGTCAAATCCTTTCCTCATCTCAACCGCTGGGCGGTCACCTTTATTCCAACTTTGGGCCAGGCCTATGGCCGGGTGCGGTGACCGCTAGCCGGGCTGGGTGCCCTGTCCACGTGAGGGGCTCAGTCCCGGTGGAGCACCAGGATGTCCGCCCAGGCCCCAGACCAATGTCTCCCCCTTCCTATCATCCTTCCGGCTCTGCAGTGATCTCGTCAGACCGAAAGAGCCTAGCCCAGCAAAACCCAAAAAAGTGAGAAGACGAATTATCGAGATCATGACAGGACTTTTCTTCATGTGTGCACAAACGAGCATGCCTTTTTCCGTCACAAACACTTTCGTGGTATACAGAATAAAGCGCCTCATTATTTTCTCCCCAGACGCTGCCGACGGCTACTTATATGAACGTTGATGGTAGGCGTCAGCCTGCGTCACACTAGCTCATTTGACAGAAGTCTTATTAGCGACGGTCTTTAGACAACGATCAAAGCAGCGCATATAACGCAGATTCAAACAGAAGCAAATGAGAGTTCATTTCCACGTAATCCGGTTCAGCATATATCCTATTGCAATCTCGCTATAATCCTATGTCAGTGGAAGCACGTGTCGGGCCTTTGCCAAGAAGAACCGCAGCTAATAGACTCGCTGCCTCGGGCAGCGTCCAATAGCTGGTGCGTTCCCACCGCCCTGTTCGTGTGACGAGTCGACGATATTCAGCCAGCATCAGTCTCAAAGAAATAGCTTGGCAGGGCATTTTCAGAAATTCATAAGTGGCGTTGAATAATGAATGTGTTCCAGGACGAGGTGAGGGTGAAATCATCAGCTATCAGAGTCGAGACAGAGGACGAAGAGGGCTGTTAGCGAGAAGTGTCTTTATGATGTGTCTAGTTAGAGCCGTCGATAATGCTAACTTATCGCTTGTGCCTTGATTGTAGCCAGTGAGCATAATTGTACGTGATTGTATTTGTATTTGTTGTCAGCATAATTGTATTTACAATTTATCTTGATAAATTGTTCGAATTATTTTCAATGAATGTATGTGATTTTGTCAGTGCAGATAGATATATACTTTTTCGGTGCGGGAACGGTTGAGGTTCAGGAGTAACTAGTCGTGACTTGCGAGCAGTGCGGATCATTCTATAATCGTGGATAAATTTCTGAAAATCACACAGAAAACAATTCAAAAGTGTAGCGTAATTGATGGAATGTTAGGCTAAAGAAACCGCAATGTCATAAGTGTTGCGTAAAAATTAAGCATACACATTTTCAGGATGAGTGTGAAAGGGAGTTTGAAATTGTTGCCGTTACCAGCTAAGTGCTCGCCAAACGCCCTGCACATAAACATAGTGGCAAGAAATTGTCCGTCATCTTTCAACAGTTAATAAGCTTCCAACCGAAATGAGTTTAGCTAAAACAGACACACATAAGTTTCGTATGAGTAAAGCGAAGCAATCAATCAAGCCAGAACAAGCAGCAAAAACTTAGGCCGATATCCATTCGCGCTCTCATACATTTGTGTATTGGCCGCACCTAAAAATTAATCATTTGGCTTTTAGATGTTACATTGAACGTCATTATCTGGCACAGAGCATTGGCAGTGACGTTTTCCAATTTTCTCCAAAGTTATGGAATGGTTCCCTAAAGCCCGTTTTGATATCACGTGATTGGTTATTATCTGACGTTTTTCATCACTCGTATTTTTTAGATCCTTTATTTTCATATGAATTTTAGGGAAAACCATGCAAGTGATCTAATATTTCTACACCCATCAGACGGCCTGACACCTCTCGAACTTTTGCTTCAAGATCTGCTTCATGTTTGTTTCTTTACAGTTCAGCCCGACTCACTCCAAACTTTCCCAAAGTTTCGTTGTTTGTCTTACACAGACTGTTTTCGCAGCGATGCTCACGTGCCATTTATCAGAGACCACTTACCATCTGATCTGGTGCTGCGCTTGGAACGTCGCCTCAGAGCTGGAACAGCAGCCTGTGTGCGCTTGGCCGCCACAAACATACACGTGTAGCCCAGTGCGATCACGCCGAACGAGATCAGGTTCAGGACTAAAACATGACAGACAGACACGAGTGGTAGTGAGGTTTGCGTCGAGAAGGACACGCTTATATAAGAAATAGCTAGTTTCTAATCTATTATGATCGCAATTTTAGGAAAAGGTTATTTACAATTTACATTATCGATATATTTGATAATAGACGAGGTCATCTTATTTCAATTTGGAGAGAAACGAATCAACAGGGTGGAAAACGGCTGACGGCATATGTACACTCAGAAACAGAAAAGCCCATTAGGTTGTCTCGGAGGCACCTGGCACGTCTTTGCAAAGAGCCACCCTTTTTTAGACAATTTTGTTTTTTATTTGGGCTTCAGTTAAACCACCAACATTTTTATCTCTTTGGAGATAATGCGTTGGAGACCATACGCTGGTGTACATTGGTCTCTTTGGAGATCATACGTTGGTATACATGGGAAAAGTCACGGCGCGCCCGGAATCGAACCGGCAACCTTTCGATTAACCCTCGCGGGCCCGGGGGGGCGTTTTTCGCCCCCCCTGGCGAATATTTGCGATAGCTCCCGAACGCTTAGGGATAGGAAAGCGAAACTTTCAGTACCTTTTCTCCCATCAATTTGACATCTTCTGAAGTAAAAAATTTGGACCTAGCCCCATTGATGACGTCACAAGGTCCATTTTTCTAGACCCCTGCACGGCAAATTTCGGCGTCACAGACGCAAACTTCAAATAGCTGCTAAAAATAGAGTTTTAGAGATAAAGACAAATTACGAGCACGGTTGTGTAGCGTTTGACCTAGAGAAAAATAGAAAAATAGTTTTGGTGACCTGAGGTCAGAGGTCAGGTCAACGACCCCGAAATGTGGTTTTAGTTTTTCGCAAATAACTTCGACAAAAACGGTCCTAGAGCTACGGCAATGGTACCATCGCATTTGCCTTGTCAAGCCGCGTCGAATGATGTATATTTTGTTCGGAAAAGGTCAAGTTTTATGTTGACCTCATGTGACCTCGAATGACCTCTGGTTGACCTTGACACATGAGAGGTCATTTATGATGGATGTTTACCCGCTGATCACGAATCTGGCATCTATTTTCCTCTAAGCCTTCATTTAGAGCTTCTGGACGGCAAAATTGTCTTATTTATTATTACTAACTTGAATCAGTGAAATAGCCTCTAGCAGGGATACTCTTCTGTGACCTTGACCTTTGAGCAGCCTTGTATCGTAGGATGAACCACAAATAGGGAACTGATAAGCCTCAAAACATTTCAAAACATCTTGGAAGCTAGCACGCAAGATGTGCGAAAAAGTGCCAAGTTTGAGGTCAATTTTTAGCGTGACCTTGACCTTGACCTTTAATTTTAAGCACATTTTCGGAATCCTCAGATTCTATTCTTTCGTTTGACACCCAATTTTGCCGGTTTAATGCAGCCTGCCGTCCTCTAGAAGGCTTACTTTGAGATCACTACACATGTGCCGGTTTTTGCCTTTGACCTTGACCTCTGACCTTGAAAATTGACCTGAGGTCAAAAATTTTAGGTGCTTTAGAATCGTTTCGTAAGGACCTTTCGTTTGGTATCGCTTTTGTTTCCGTAGCTCCCTTATTTACGGAGTTAGACAGGGGGGGCGAAAAACGCCCCCCCCGGGCTGCGGTGGTTGGGATTACCCCCCGGGCCCGGCCGGGTTAACGATCCGCAACTCTACCCATTGAGCTACCGAGGCACCTTTTTGTAGTGGCGACAGACGGCATTCTGTACCAGCGGCGGCGGCGGCTGACAGGCTGTCGTAACGACTTCGGTCGTGTTTTTTTTTTAGAGATTGGCAGCGTTTGTGGTGACGTTGGTCGTTGGCCAAGTGTGGATGATGTGCAGTGATAGAGTGGATGTTTGTTCACCTTTGATGGCATTTTGCCGTTCAAATGCGTTCAAATGCGCAGTTGTTGGGAAATCTCCTGGACGGGGGATCGCTAGCAAGAATTTCTTTTGATGTGCAGCGCGCGGATCGAATCCGCGGACCGTCAAGACATTCGTTCGTGGAGACACCTGGGGGGTCTTCTGGACAACGGCACGGCCTTAAAAACTTCCAATGTTATCTCAAAGAAGGTCGCTGTGTCGATGTTGAGATTGATTGAGATAGTCGGCATACTAAACCTTGGCTTTCTGGAAATTTCGACATCTAATGTCTCCGTGTCAAGAGCATTTACCGGAAATTGAGAATGGCCGGATACCTCGGAGTAAACCAATCATCGAATGTTCTAAAAACTGTTTCTGAGTGTACCCCTCACCCCTTTTCCTTATCACACATAGTTGCACTATTACTGATAGTCATCGGATATGTATTGTGTAGGCGAGGTCTTGCCCCAAAATAAAAGGATTATATATGTAAATTCCCCGAATAGCCGCACATAGGTACAACTTACATTTATGCATCACACTGAACAAAGACAAAGGCTGCATTACATTATTACATTATGTCTTAATGCCTACCGCTCTAAAGGCATAAAGACGTAGACTAAGCTCGTTCAGACAATGCATTTACCGTTTTGAATAGCAGCTTTGAAAATGGGACAGCACCGTTCATCCCACGCAAAACAGGACTAATTTGTCAGAAACTAATGCGACGGACAATGCTTTTATCGCTGGTGTTTGTCATTCATTATCTTGGGGAAGGTATTTTATTCCCGGTAATATATTGAATAAGTTATTTTAAAAACTGTGATTATGTTGTTACTTAAATTGCTCTTCTTCCAAGAAAAAAAAAAACGCAACACATTCGCAAGTTGTCGACAGTAGTTTTCCCCGACGTAAACATCGCTACTACTTTTTAGACACGGTAGTCGGAAATTAAGTGTTTCCGAGAAACAGCCTCGGAGTACTCTCATTACATCGAGGAGTCCGGAGCTAAGTGTTTGTGCTCACCTAGGAAGACAAACACCGAGTACTCCCATCCGGGCGGGTAGTCTGGAGTGATGTGAAGCGCCAAACATACTCCCGAACGTCCGTAAAATCCACTGCCAATGCCATAAAAACGAATGTCAATGTCACACGAGGAAATGACTAAATAAGGACACTTAGAAAATGCGTATTTTTACTAGAAAACCCGGCATGCACGGAAATGATCTAGCTTTAGTAAGCGCAGGTCAATGAGTGATCAATGAATCCAGGTATGTGTAACGAGTGATCTCTGATCTATGATACGGTCAGTCATGCAGCTTTAATTATTGACATCAGACCTGAAGATGTGTCAATAAGTAGCCTCTGAGCTAACAGAGTCAATAGTTGACCTTTGACCCAAAGCGGTGTCAATGACCTCTGACCTGAAGTAGGAGAGCGGCATCAGGGGCGAGGCGGCCAGTAGAGCCACGGCCGTCCATCCAGTCGCCATGATGAGACGGGTACGTGACATCTCCAGACGATCCAGGTGAAACGGGAAGATGATCACCAGAAAACGGTCCAGCGTGATCACTGAGGGCGAGTGATCGCGATCATTGCAGCGTGCAATGTGAGAGCTGATCATATGACGGTACAGACTACAGAGCGACCACCTTGTGAAAGTCATCCCTTGGTGGTAAATTCATACAGTGCAATAAAATCAGAGGTGGACGGCTTATCTTTGACCAATAAGCTCTTACAATACATATTTAAAATCCAGTTTACAATTTCCCTTACCCCTTAGTAACTAGAAAGACGCCTTTTTCCCACCAGCTGTGAGTAAAAATGTTCAGTCTGCACCTGTTCCTGCCCCCCACACACAAAAAACATGTAGACGTAAGCACGCCCATTTGCTCCCCTTTGAGTGCACACTGTAGGGGTACCCATTTTTTGGTCAATTTTTCAAATTTTAGGTGGGGGTGGATTTTCCCATTACTTGGTCTATTCTGATTCCATCTGTGCCAAAAATAGTGAAATCAAACGATTTCTAGGGGTCGCGAATTCAAAATGAAAATGCCAGTTTTAGCGAAAAATCGACCAAATTAATGCTATTTTATTTTGGAACAAGGTTACCATGCTAACAGGTGGGAGTCAATTTTCCCATTATTTGGTCCATTCTGATTCCATCTGTGCCAAAAATAACAAATCCAAACTATTTCTAGAGGTCACGTATTCAAAATGAAAAGGTCAATTTTAGCGGAAAATCGACCAAATTAACATTATTTTATGTTGGGACAAAGTTACCATGCCAACGGTTTGGGGTCGATTTTATCATTATTTGCTCCAGTGGCGGCGGAATAGGGGGTGCAGGGGTTGCAGCTGCACCCCCATCGAAAAACATGGGGGTGCAAACATATCTTTTTGCACCCCCAAAATCCGTACAAGGGGCCCGTCGCACCAGCTAATACATTTTCTCCCGAAAACCAGTGATCTGGAAACGAACACTGATGTGGAATCGTCCGGGATGTCCAAATGGTCAGGAGCGCCCCATGCTAGTCTTTGGGGCCCCCACACCGGCTAGAAGTGTCCCGAGCCGCGTTTGGTGCTCCATGCGGCATCTGAGGGCCCGCACGACGGCCTCAGAGGGCCCTTATATGACGATCTCTGAGGGCTCCCACGACGACATCTGTCCCCTGGGGCCCTACAACGGCCACTAAGGGCCCTCATGACGACCGCTGAGGGTCCCACAGATACTCCAGGGCCCCAAGGGGACTACAGGGGCCATGCTGGCCTCCCTATGACGGCCTCTGAGGGCCCTTACGATGATCTATGAGGGCTCTCACGACGACCTATGTCCCCTAGGGCCCTATAACGACCACTAAGGGCCCTCATGACGACCGCTGAGGGTCCCACAGGACTCCAGGGGCCCTGCTGGCCTCTACGACGGTCTCTGAGGACCCTCGTGACGGCCCTAGACCCATATCAAGTCTGAGGGCCCATTTGGCTTCAGACGGCCCAGCGACGGCCTCTGAGGGCCCCAACACAACCAGGCTGCAGAGGCTATGCTGGCATCTGAGGGCCCTGCAACGGTCTATTGAGGGCCCTAGCGATGGCCTCTAGCGGTCTTACCAAGGCCTGAGAGCCCTGCAAAGGTATCTGAGGGCCCATGAAGCAGGGCCTCGTCTAAGGAATTTTCACTGGGGGGGCAGAGACTGAAGGAGTCAAACCTAGGGTACCCCCAAATCCTGTTTTCTCACCGGATTTAGGCCACTTGATTTTCGTCACAGCCCTGAGACCATGATTTTTTTAACAAAAGAAGAAAAAAAAAAAAAACAGGCGGTCTGAGCCATACCGTAACCCTCGCCCGTATAGGTACATAGCGGAGGGGTGCGGGGCGGGGGGGGGGGGGGGAGCGTCGAACGGACTCCTCTCAGTTTTTCGCAAATAAGTCGCGCAAAAAGCGACCGATTGCGACACAATTTTCAATACCCTCGCGTTTATCAATTTCACATCAACTCTGAAAATTTCATGACCCTGACCCAAATGACCTTTGACCTGTGAGTTACTTTTCGAGACCAGGTTTAGCCGGAATTGCAATTTGGCCTATCGTCGGCTCGCATTAGCCGAGCGTTTGCAGTCTTTTCGTGGTTTCAAGCGTTTAAACATGTGATATGATGTTGCTTCCTATGATGAGTTTTACCCGCTTTTAGACTAGTTTTTGGAGCTAATTTCGAATTTAGCAACCATTTGAACAATTACGAATAAGTTTTGGTGCCTTCGCAACATGTTACGAAGCTGTCAGAGGTGGTTGCCACCTACTACGAATACCCGGCAAAACCCTTACTGATTGATCTGACCTGATCTGACCCGACCTGGCCTAAATGCATGGAGACATTATCTATGATCATAACTAACATGATATTCGTGAACAGCACCCCGAAAAAAAAAACATAACAGCCACCCTTTACTGAGTTTACGACGTTCTAACAGGTCCTGATTTCCCCGACTTTTGGGTCATTGACCTGACCTGGAAGGTCAACTGAATGACTAAGGATCTTAAAATTGGGTATCATCGTTTTCCTCTCGTCACGGGCAACACGGTCGTTTGTTCCGCGAAGCTCTAGCTCGATCAGGGGCGAAACAGCAAGGGGTCCAACGGACCCCTCCCCCTTATACGTTCGCGACTGGAAAAACACCAATACGGGCGAGGGTTAACATTAGTGTACCTTCACATTGACCCACCAGACAGTGATAAACATACTTATCCGTGTTGGGCGTTTCGTTGAGTTTGTGTGTTGGGGGGGGGGGGGGGGGCAAACACGAGCTGGGTCGCTGGCCAGCTGCCATTTTACAATTTGCTACTCGGCGCTCTCTGGGCCCTGTTACACGGCACGCCGCTTCACTTCGCTTCAGCGCGCTTCACTGAAGCGGTGAGGTAGGTAGGTAAACGGAATCTCCGATGCTAAGATGTGACCTCATCACAAAACGCCAGCGTGCTGTATTATATTGCTTGCACTTTGCAGTATTGCTTCGCATTAAGATATGTCCCGGAATACAAACATAAAATGTAGCGGCCATATTTCTGATTTCAATGCGAAACAATACTGCAGCAATATAATACAGCGCGCTGGCGTTTAGTGATGACAGTTACCTTAGCATCGGAGGTTCCGTTTAACTCGCCGCTTCAGTGAAGCGGAGTGAAGCGGCGTGCCGTGAAACAGGGCCCAGCTCTGAAAATCACAAAACCCTGTCTTTTCCCGTAGCCATGAACACTGAACAGTTATTGAACAAATTATTTAATGTTTCTCGTTAAATCCATGTAAGATTCCTAACAAAAACGTATTGCGGAGAAGGTAATTTTGTGAGAAGTTTACGTTTTGACTGGGGGGGCAAATGTTGGCCACTGGGGGGGCAATCCGCTCCACTGGGGAGGCAATTGCCCCCCCAGTTAACATGTTAGACGAGGCCCTGCCATGAAGACCCTCACTATGGCCAAGGACCCTCATGACGACCTCTGATGATCCTTCCGAAGGCTTCTAAGGGCCATCACAACAACTTCTGAAGACCCCAGGACGGTCCCTGAGGGGCTGAGGGCCCTGACGACGACCTCTCTGGGCCCTCATGATGGTCTCTAAGACCCAACGCAGGCTCCAAAGGCCCACGCTGGCGTCTGAGGGCCCCACGACGGCCTCTGAGGGCCTCGACGCAGGCAGGTTCCAGGGGCCATGCTGACCTCTGAGGGCCCTCTTGACGGCTTCTAGGGCCTAACGAAGGCTTCAAGGGCCAACGCTGGCCTCTGAAGAACCCTACAACAGCCTCGGAGGGTCTCAACTCAACACAGGCAGGTGCCAGGAGACATGCTGGCCTCTGAGGGTCCCGCAGAGTTCAGATTCAGAGGACCCAACGACCTTTGTGAACCTTACGAAATACGGAGGTCTCCGAGAGCTCACGCAGGCTCCTGGAATTCCACACTGATTCTCAGGCCCCATGGCGGCTTGTTGAGGCACTTTATCTGCTCTTGGTGCCCCGTCGCCGGCCTCTGAGAGTCTCAATGTGGGAACTTATTGGGCCATGGGCCCTACACCGGCTTTTATGGCCCCTACATCGACTCTTGGGACTCATGACCCATGAAATGTGGATCTAAGCGGCTTCTAAGAATCCCCATGCTGGTTCTGGTAGCCGTCAGCCGAATATTTGGACTCAAACGCGAGCTCCTGGGACCCCTTGCATACCCCAGGGGTCTACCTGCCTCTAAGGCCCCACACATACTTTTTGGGCTCAAACACTTGCCCCTGAAGGCCCCACTGAGACCCCTTTCCTCTATTCAGTCCTCCATACCGGCTCTTTAGGATAAACATCGGCTCCTGTGACCTCCAGCCGGTTTCTGAGAGCCCTCAAAAGACTTTCGAGCCTATACTGCCTTCTGAAACCTTTCAGCAACTTTCAAGGGACCGACCCTGATCGGAGGGCTCATTCAGTCTGGGGAGTCATGTATGTCTCTGGAGGAGTCTATGTGGTCGGTTTCCAAGGGGCTTCTAAACACGGTCTTCTTGAAACGGTCTCGTAGGGCCCTCAATGGTCCAATGCGGATCCAGAAAAGTGGTTTGAGACGCTGCGGGTGGTGGCTAGACTAAAAGATTAACCGATAAAAAACTAGCTGCATTTGCTTCTTTATGCTTTCATTATTTGAGATAGGTACCTAGGTGCACTGCAATTTCAAACCTTTTACAGAACTTTTGTGTATGGGGATAGTTTTCCGAAATCTTCGTTTTTCATAAATCAATAATAATCACTTAAAAATAAATGAAGGGGGGCCCACAACTTCCAGAGGGGCCCCTTGAGAAAACTTTGCACCCCCATCCAAAATTACCTTCCGCCGCCACTGATTTGCTCCGTTCTGGATCTAGCAGTGACAGAAATAACGATATCAGACCACTTTTAGGGATCGCGAGCTTGCATTGGAAGTTTTAATTTTACTTGGAAAAATGACTTCATATGAATGGATATAAATGCGCAAAGCCTGAATGTGTTGCAGTGGTATTCGACGTGCAGCGGTAAAAGAGAGCACCAAAAATATCATTTTGGTCAATGAACAGCATATGCTCATTTACACTCACTGTGGCTTAGACCGTCATTAGTACCTACATATATACCAGACCGTAACTCTTAGAACGACTGGCTATGTAGTCAGAGGGCTCAAATCAGTGATCGAAGCTTTCTCATTAGGACCATTTAGTTTTCAATGAGTCGTCTTATTCAGCAAAAGAAATGACTGAACCCCAGGACGTAAACAATGAATATTGACACAATCTGGGTGGGAGGGGCATTAAAAGCCGTTACGGATGTGACGATATAACTCGTGTGTCGTATTGTAACGGAAATATGGCATGAAGTAGATAAATAAGTTGTTAACCCGCGCGGGGCTGGGGGGGGTAAATTTTACCCCCCCTCGCGAATTTTTGCGATATCTCAAAAACGGCGGCGCGCAGCGCCGCCAAGCTTTCAGTACCTTTGCTTACATCAATTTGACACCTTCCCTGAAAATTTGAGCGAAATCCGTCGGAAAATTTTTGAGAAATTGACGTTTTAGTGACGTCATGTTCGCCATTTTCGCCTCAAAAACGGCAAAAGTTCAAACGCCGCTAACATCTTCATTTTTAAAGGAATCAAGACGTAACAAAAAAGGTTATACGTAATTTTACTTTGTCTATCAAATGGCTATCTCGGTTTTTTGAAAATTTTGGATTTTGGCCTAAATTTTTTCAAAAAACTGATTTTTTTGGGAAAATCATTATAAAATCCAAAATTTTGAGTCTATCGAAAAAACCGGAATATATGTCAGGGAAGTGGTCTATGCGCACCTACATACCAAATTTTAGAAGAATCGGTTCAAAAATGTGGGAGTTATTCAAAATTTTATGACGTCACGACACACAAAATTTTTGAAAAATGACTTTTTTTGGAAGTTCTAGACCTCGTACGGAAACAAAAATAGCACCATTCGATTCGCCGTGAAAAACTGCATCAGATAGACACCTTTTTAGGCCTTAACAACCAACTTCAAAATTTGACCTCACTTGACCTGACCTTGACCTGACCTCGACCTGAAATTCATCCAGAGGTGGTCCATATCACTTATTGAGTGTGCCTATTGAATTCTATGAGTAAAATGACCCATAAGACATGTGTCGCACATGCCCTTTTCTATATTTTGTTTTTTGGTGACCTGACCTGACCTGACCTGACCTTGACCTTGACCTCTGAATGATATTGTATGCAACTAATATTGTCTTGGTAGCCTAAGAACACGTTTTGGGCGATCAGTCTCAGTCCATGACTCCATTCTTCGGCAACTACGGTGCAAGGCCGATACTGTAGAAACTTGCAATTTGTACCCTTGACCTGACCTTGACCTTGACCTCAAACTTTAAATTAAGTACATGTTTTTAGTAGTTCGTGATGAGAGCTTTCGATTGGCGTTTGAATTTTCCAAATCGGACCATTAGTTCGGGAGATAACAGGGGGGGGGGGGTAAAATTTACCCCCCCCCCCCAGCCCCGCGCGTTCGGCTGGAGACCCCAGCCCCGCGCGGGTTAATGGCCTATTTATATCTTTAACGAGATGAAAACAGCACTGAAGCTATGCCGGTATGCATGACCTTTGCCAATTCGCTAGCCGACCTCCCCTATAGTCCCGGAGTTGCAGACACGGCTGAGGGAGGGGCGCAAGCTTTACACCACCGCGCCGTTGGGTGACTGCTGTATGAGTGTAGCTTTGCCCCTCTCCCACAAACACCCACACCCACATACAGACTTTTGTTTAGACTGTTGACATATTGTTAACTTGAGACGGGTGCAGATATCATGTCATGGAACTAGCCTGGTGATGGCCGCTGCCAGCAGCGTCCTTGCAAGATAACGGACCTTACGCTGCACTCTACATGCCCAGTCCAAACCCTCAGATGGTGCTGAACTGAAGTCGAATGGCATTGGCTAAAGCTGGAAATTAGGAAGGTGCCAAGTCTAAACGACTCAGCCAACTCCGAGGCAGATCCGTTTACTGACTCCTGGCATTGCCTGGGGGCCGACACATTGGGTGGGCCATGGACCTTAGGTGGCGGACCTAGTTCTCCTCGTCCTCAGCCTCTGCACGCACACTCTTTTATATGACGCCGCGTCCTGGTTACCACCATATACGGCCCATGCAGGATGAAAATCTTCTGCTTCATTAGGTTCTTCAGATTCATACGCCAATCACCTCAGATCACAAGTGATCTGTGCAAGGAGCAGTGAAAGGTCCAGGGTTGTGCTTGACTCATGAGTCGAGTCAGAAATTTGACTCAACTCTGACTCAAATGAGTCAGATTTGAGTCGAGTCAGATAAAATGTTGAGCTGTTGAGTTGAGTCAGAGTTGAGTCGGACAAAAATATTAAGGCGTTGAGTTGAGTCAGAGTTGAGTCAGTAAAATAACTTTTGACATTGAGTTGAGTCAAACATTTAGGAACATGAGTCAGCTGACTCCACTTTCTAGAAACAAGCTTTTCATCCCCCCCCCTCTTAACAACTTCGCCCTGGCCCTGCTGCCGGATTTTTTTTCACCCCCGCCCCCGCTCAACAAATTTTTCATCTGAGTCAATTTTGAGTCAACTCACTTGACTCACCAAAAAAATTGAGTCAAGTTTGAGTCGACTCATATTTTCATTGAGCCGCTTGAGTCATGAGTCGAGTCAAGGGAAAAAAATCAGCTCCTTGTTTGAGTCAGAGTTGAGTCAGGGCTTTCTGAAGTTGAATGATGAGTCGAGTCGGCAAATTTTTTTGAGTCGAGCACAACCCTGGAAAGGTCTTCGTCACTTATCAGCTATGCACGTATCAGCGCATGGCTAGTCGCCCGTGGTCGAAAATGCAAAGTCGTAAATGATGTGCAATGTGCATTGTATCGGAACCTCTTACACTTCAGACGTGTACTCGTATCCCCACTGACGGTGACTGAAGAAATGAAATAGTAGGTACATGGTTGGTAGGCATGGAAAGAATCGACGCTTTGGAGTTTATGTTTTTGGATTAGAAGTTGATATTTTTGGGTAGAACACCCAGAGTTATTCTGCCTTGTCTCATACGTGTATTACATCGTAGCCGTCAGCGACAGAAGCGGTGGAACACCTTCAATTAAGGGGGCACTGCCGACTTTTGGTCCCATTCTTTCCATGCAACGCCCCTAGGGCTAATGTTAAAATGCCAAAATCAAAGGGGGGCACGGTGCTCCGGTGCCCTCCCCGTTCCGCCGCCTGTGGTCAGCGATCAGGACGGCGTGTCTTGTGGAAGTATACGGTCAAAATGGTTTGATCGTTTTTGAATTACATGGTTTGAAGTCCATTCGGAGCCATAACCTGTGAGATGTATCCTGAGCTAATTTGCGGAAACTTTAATTGTATGGACACAAAAAGCCTGTCATGAACTGAGATGTGGCAACTGAAACGTCATATTTAAGTTTGACCTCACAGGTCATCAAAGGTCACCAATACCAAAGGTCACCAAAGGTCACATGAAGGCAGAAGATATAAAAAATGATTACACGCCGACCAGAATGATACCAACAACAGGAGCAAAACATCACGGCGCTTTTCAGTTTTCACCAAATGTTGCAATATCGACTTGTATTGATCGCTAGTAAGGCATTTAACCGGAACCACGTGATGGAGCACATCGATCTGGATGAAAAAGGCGCGCTCAATGACCCCTCTACCTGACTTTCGAAACAAAAAGTTTGCCTTTGGTGCGATTTACTATCAGCGTAAAATAGGCATATTTCTAGGTAAATACGCAAATTTCAATCTCAATTCGCGACCCCTAAACCACCTTTGATTTCAATATTTTTGGCATCATTGGAATCAGGAGCCGCGAAATAATGGGGAAAACCACCCCCACCCTTAAATTTCCAAAATCGGGAAAAATGGGTACCCCTAGTGCACAGTCCTCTTTTAGCCTCACCAGTGAGTGTGAAGACGCTCAGCTCTGATGAGAACGTGCTGACGAACCCGGCCAGGTGGCAGAGCCTGCTGGAGCGCCAGTGGACCGCGTGCACCGAGTAGCGTCCGCGGTAGTATTGGTCCACCGCCGCGATCATCAGTAGGTACACGCCCATTAGGCAGTCACTGAATGCTAGGTTCATGATCAGGAACGAGTGAACCTGAGGAGAGGTCATGGGGTCACGGTCAGCGGGTGATGGTTGGAGGAGGAGTCACTTGCGGGCTCTTGCGGGCCATCAGGTCTGATCACACTCCGAAGTAATAGGCTGGAGGTGAAAGCGCCATAGGCCACATTCATAATACCTAAGGGAGTCAAGGCTGAACGCAGGACCACGGGAGTCAATCAAAGAGCAGACTGAGCGGTTTGAGCAGCTCGGTGACGCGAGTTGCGAGAGAGGAGTAAAATGACATACGGTTGTATTAAACAAGTCTTTTCCTGGTATTGTAAATCACGTGTACCCTGTTGCTACCTTTTTAGCAGCAGCTGCAGAACTTAGTTTTCAGCAACAGTATTTACCCTGTTGCTTATTTTATGCACAGCGGGACTCACCCTGTTGCTAGTTTTGTGCAGCACGCGCCAGCACATGACCAGGACATTTCCGACCAGCGCCACAGCGCCTAGCACCCAGATGCAGAGACGCAGCACCGTGTTGGACATGAGGTCTTCGCAGCTGGAGAACTCGTCGGCCGCTGGTAGACACGTGGGCACGTGGCGTGCCAGGCAGCACAAACCGAACAGGTCCGTCTCCCTGCGGCCGGGCCCGGGGCACACGTGGCATTACGGCACGGGGATGCACGGAGCGAGTTTTGACGAAACGCGATTGGCATGCAGCGGTGAATAGGGAAATGGTCTCCCTTTGTATCGCCATAGGGCGTTATGTTTGTAAATGGAGCGGTTAGTATGCAGCCTGCACCTAGACAGTACTGCAAAATTATGCATGTGCCTCATCTAAGAAACAAGACCCAGCTGAGAAAATATTAACGATTGAGATGGAAGTGGGAAATGATGTTTTAGAGAGAGATCTCAAAGGTCCAGCCAGTTTCCTCCTAGGTATAGGTAACCACACTGTAGTGTGCACTCGAAAAAGGAAATACGCTGCAGTGACGCATACGATCAATTACATCGTGATTAACTGATTATGATAGCAAGGAAACATATATGAAAACGACTTGGATGATGCACGAGTCTGTACTCACAAGCGATTTAGAGAGGTCAAACTTCTGAAAACTTCCTTCGGGGGATCTTCGATATCATTGTTGGTAATGTCACTGAAACAAAGCAGATTTCGCTGAAATGATTTGATTCAATTATTATCACTATACCATTTTAAACATTTTAAACATTTTAAATAACATTTTACATCAGAAGAAATGCTCACTGGTTTCTTTTTGCCAAACATGTTCGATTTTTTTTTCTACCAGAAAATTCTGAAAAAAAAACGAAAAACTTACAGCATCACCAGTTTGCTGAGTCCGGTAAATGCAGCCACCTCCAGATGGCGGAGTCCATTGTTAGATAAATTTCTGGCGAAAAAAGAGCATTAAATATAAGGTAAATTTTCATAAATGTGATAAGAGAGGGAGAAAATTTATCTAGTCGTAACCTCAAAGTTGTTAAAGCTTAACAAATAATCGAAAGCCACCCTGCCATTCCCCTTCTAAGACTATAAGCCTTTCAACCTGGAAGCAGCGAATACAAACACGTCAATGCTCGTTCATATTCAAAGCGCTTTCTGTAGAATTGAATTCAGCAAAAACCCTCTGAAGAACCGTAAAGCCGAGAAGTTTCAGCCCATGGTCCCGTCTGGTTGAAATTGAATAAACCGTAGCGCACACATCCTATCAAGCTTTGCAGGACCGTCAACACATTAGTGAGAGGCGTCGGCGGACGGGCGAGGGAAGCCCAAACATCGCGGCAACTTTGGCTCTGTTCCTTGGGGAGAGGGGTGGGAGAGGGATGGGAGAAGGGGAGAGGGGTACTCACAGGTTGGCCAGTTTCCGCAATCCCAGAAAACAGCGCGATGAGAGGTACGTCAGACGCTGGTGACTGAGGTCTCTGAAACGAGACGAGAGAATGTTACTGGTCGTATCCGGGCAATATTATTCATTGGAATAGACGCTATAAATATAAAAATATCACGTGCGAAGTGTTTGACTCATTTGAAAAAAAAGTATGGAAAATGTATTGTAAAATATGCTGATAAAGTACTTACAAAATTGCCAGGGACGATAGGCCCAAGAATGCGCTCTCTTCAATCCTTTGTAAACGGTTTCCTGTAAGAAACCTGAAACAAATTGAAGCAGGTAATCAAAGTTATTTACTCCCTCGCTGCCGGCGACAAAAAAAAATAATTCAGACAAATCCATATGTCATCACAAAATTGCAAACTAGACGGCATAGAAATAAAATCACACTCACACCCAAACATTACTCACAGCGCTCGGACGTTTTGCAGTCCGAAGAAAGTTCTGTTTTTCAGGACGGTGATGTGGTTGTCTCGTAAATCCAGAACGTGCAGGCGGAACATGTTTTGGAACATCATGGGCGGTATATGAGTGATTCCATTCGAACTGAGGTCCCTGTAACGGGAGAATATTGATTTCTGGTCAAACCGAAGTGAGAAGAATTGACCAATAATTTACCATTATTCAACCGGAAAAAATCAAAGTGTTTCATACACAGAAAGATAATCGCTTTATTATTTACCCTAGTTTCAAAATATATTACACATTCTGGAAACCCTAAAAGATGTTTTACTGGATTGTGAATATCAAGTAGATACCTTCGTGATTAATCACATTTTTCTTTCGTGATTAATCACAACGCTATCACATTCAAGCTTCAACATCCTAGTACTATGCCATGGGCAGACAGCTATAGTAGGATCACACCAGAAATACTTACAAATGGACAGCTGTTTCGTGGCTTAGAAAGAAGTGAAAGCTTTCCGTCAGGTTCAGCTTGTTCCGTCGAAAGTCACTGAAAGCAGATAAGCTGTAAGACAAAAGTAAGGTACACATATAATATATTTAGAGTTTTACATGCTCATGTATGTGGTGGTAGGTAATGGCTACACCAATCCGAAAACATTACCGAAATCAATACAATGATACATTAACTCATTCACAATACACAAATTAATTATGGATGAGTAGGTAATACTGGCCAAATAGTAACAGGCTCAAAAAAGTAATCAAGGTTGAACACCTTCATCTCATATTTCTCTCTCTCTCTCTCTCTCTCTCTCTCTCTCTCTCTCTCTCTCTCTCTCTCTCTCTCTCTCTCTCTCTCTCTCTCTCTCTCTCTCTCTTATTTATTTATTTATTTATTTACTTCGTAGTGGCCGTCCCCTATCTATGACCGAAGTCAAAGAGGCTATTCTTGGCACTGAGTCAATAAAAGATGGTGATGAAGTGGGTAAAAGAACATCATGCTATGACATAAAAAATGCTTAAAAATCACGATAAAAGCACACAACACAATGCACATACATATACATACATATCACACTTCGTCCGCACCAGACGTCAGTCGACGTTTCAGCTGGTTTCTAAACTCGGTGACGGTCAGATCAGTAAAGGCGGCGGGGAGAGCATTGTACAGCTCTGCGGCACGGTATGTAAACTGCCGCTTTCCCGCCGCCGTGCCGCGTATGTCAGGGAGACTCAGCAGGTTGTCACTGCGAGTGCTGCGCACATGGTTGGGCCGTTCGCGGTTCGTGCAGAACCGAGCAGCCAGAGACTCGGGCTGCCCAGTCTGACGGACCTTATGAAGCAGTGTGAGGGTGTGATGGACGACCAGGTCTTGGGAACACAGCCAGCCCAGGTCTTCTCGCACGGCGGATATATGGTCAAATTTACGCTTTCCAGAAATGATGCGGGCTGCATAGTTGAAAATTTTTTGAATGGTTGCCATGTTTCTGCCAGAACCGTTGCCGTACACTGCCAAACCATAGCGGATGTGCGAGAAGACTAGGGCTGAGACGATGATAGGAAGGGATCCGGGGGGTAGGTAGTGACGTAGGTGAGAGATGGCGGTCAGGATCCCTACGCACTTCCGAGACAGCTGTGATACGTGCGAATCCCACGAAAGATGACGGTTGTTGGCGCCGCCTCGTCGGCGCACCGGCGCTCTCGTATTTCCGTAAAGCGGCAGCTCTACTCAGAGCCGGCTGAAGGCCGAACCTTGTCAAGGTCACGGCCGCTGCGCGGCGCTCGGCCGGCTCACGTGGGGGACGAATGGCCGGTTGGTCAGTGGTCTGTGCCTTTGTGTTTGTTTTTATGTAGAATATCAACGGGTGAGTGATATTTCGATACAGGTATTGGTTTGTATGTAGCTTGTAAGTGTGTCATTTCGATATGTGTTGATTATTAAGCAGCTTCACATGATAAAACGAAATGGCGATGCTGCGAAGGCAATCTGGCGCTGCGCCAAATTTGTGAACAATTTTTTGTTGAGCTTGTCGATCGACCACAAACGCAAATGAGCGATAATTCTGATAGTTATGTGTTATTTATTCGCTTACGATATGGTATATCGGTACAGTTGTGATATATTTTCCTCTTTTGTGTGCATTTCAGCGTTGTGCTAATGGTGCTTATACGAGGTCGAAGTTGGTGCGACCAAGAACCCGTTTTGCACGCTGAGACTTCGCATGGGAGGCAAAACTTGTCGGTATGAACTGAACTGGGGATTTAGACTGTCATTATCTGTAAGAAATTGTATGCAATCATCACTTGTGACTGCGATTGAAAGTGTTTGCATTTTTGTATTTAAAGGTGTTCCGAGATAAGATACGAAAGTTAGTAAACAATGTATTTGAAACGCGTCAGATAAGATATAAACAAAGGGGAATTGTATTTGTATGATAAGTACCGATTCATGATAGAAATATTGTATGACGTCATGAATGTGGTGTTGACATGACCGAAACTGAGATGTTTTCTTTTGTTTGTGTGCAGTTACGGCACCACGGCAGTGAATACAGCCCGTTCGACGACAACTCCCCGTCTCTGCAAACGGCGTGCGAACATCAGTAACGACAAGTTTGACGTCCAGGACTGCACGCGGACTGCACACGCGCCTGACCGACATCATGGATCTGGATAAACTGCAAGTTGCTGAGCTGAAGCGGGAGTTAGATAGGAGGGGAGAAGACACAAGAGGTACAGACCACTGACCAACCGGCCATTCGTCCCCCACGTGAGCCGGCCGAGCGCCGCGCAGCGACCGTGACCTTGACAAGGTTCGGCCTTCAGCCGGCTCTGAGTAGAGCTGCCGCTTTACGGAAACACGAGAGCGCCGGTGCGCCGACGAGGCGGCGCCAACAACGGTCGAAAGTGATACCAAGATTTTTCGCCTCGTAGCCGGGAAGGAGAGCTGTACTCCGAAATTTTACAGAGAAGGGGGGAAGGTTTCGTAGATTTTGCCGAGTGCCGATAGGGAGGAGCTCAAATTTCGCCTCGTTGACTTTCAGTCCATTGGACCGAAAGTACGCGTCCAGGGATTGAAGGGCCGCCTCCATGTCACCGATCAAGGCTGGAAAGGCGTTTTTTTTTCTGCCAGAGACGAGAACCTGCGTGTCGTCGGCGTACTGCGTGACGCAGGCGCCGGCGGCATGCAGGCTGAGGTCGTTCTAAAAAACCATGAAGAGAAGAGGGCCGAGAGAGGAACCTTGGAACACGCCTTTGGTAATTGGACGAGACTGGGAGATAAGTGTTGGAGAAAGGCTGACGCTCTGTGTATGGCCGGACAGGTAGCTGTAGAACCAGGAGGTGTCGATGCAGTAAAGCTGCAGCTTGGATAGTAATTTGGCATGATCGATGACATCGAAGCAGCGACTCAAATCGATGAGGCAGAGAAGCGAGATCTGACTTTGATCCATTGCGTGAAGCGCGCGGTCGGTGACGTTAATGAGGGCTGTCTCGGTAGAGTGTTGGGGCCTGAATCCGTGTTGGGATTGGGAGAGGAGATGGTTGGATGCGAGGTAGTCGTACAGCTGGAGCTGCACCACCTTCTCCACTACCTTCGCGATGACAGGAAGGATTGATATAGGACGGAAGTTTGAAGGATCGTCGGTGTTCCCGGACTTGTGAATTGGATGTACCAGGGCGTGCTTCCAGGATGACGGTACCTCGTTAAGAATGATGCTGGAGTTAATGATGTGCAATAAAACAGGACCGATGATGCTAAAAGAGAGTTTAAAAGTACGAATACAAAGACTATCAGTGCCACTAGCGGAAGAGTTGCGCATACTAAAAATGACTAGATGTAAATGACTAAGCGTGATGGGCTGAAGGGTGAAAGCGCAGGTGCCCACCCGCGGCAGCCGCACCGGCACCTCGCGGGCTGGACCCAGTGCAGCCACCTCCGCGGCTACCCGCGGGCCGACGCCGACAAAATAATCGTTAATGGCGTCAGGGGTGACAGCTGGAAGCACACCCCGGTTTGGTCGCCCATCAGTAATGAGGTGACGCATGTGTCGCCAGAGGGAGCTGGGGCCGTCGCTGCGAATCCTATCGGATATGTGCTGCCGGTTGTCCGCACGTATAGCAGAGCGCACCTCACGGTTGAGCTGGCGGTACTCAGCTGAGGCGTGCCCACCGGCCCGCAGCGCTGCCCCTCTCCGTATAATCAGGTCACGAGTCTGGTCAGATACAGGTGGAGCCACCGGGTTTCTGAGCCGAACATCTCTAAAAGGGGCGTGTCGGTCGATGACGAGGCGGAGCCGATCAGAAAACAGCTCCCACTTAACAGCGACAGTGTCAGCGGCGAACACAGCGGACCAATCAGTGGCGGCCAGATCGCGGCGATATTCGTCCGCGTCAATGCGACGCAGCGCACGAGTTCGCACAACAGTGGGGTTTTGACGAGGCTTAGGCATTTTAAAAGACATTCGAATGAACTTGTGAGGACTAAAATGACAATGACGGGTACCAGTACGACGGATAAGATCGCGATTTATGATAAAAACGTCTAAATGTGAACCAGATGTAAATGTCGGTTCGGTAACAGTTTGCATAAGCGAGTAGGAAGACAAAAATGCTTCGAGTCTGCGCCGCCCCGGAGCATCAACGTCACCCAACATGTTACAGTTTAAATCACCGGTAATCACCACGGCACAGTCGGGGTAGTTCAGAATCACGTGCTGATACTGCCACTCCAGGTCTTCGAAGTCGGCGTCGAGGGCAGAACAAGTATTTCTCGGCTGCCGGTACACAGCACCAATCACCACCTTACTGCGCTTCCACCGGAACAGGCACCATAACGTCTCGAGACGGCTCAGACCACTGGCGGAAGCGGGCGCACTGATCTTCTTCACCTCGATCCCATCGCGGGAGAGCACCGCAACTCCGCCATATCCTCTAGGCTCGAACTTGCGGTCAGAGCGGTTCAAGGTATATCCCGGGAACACAAGTAAACGGTTGGGCACGTTTGGCTTTAGCCAAGTCTCACATAAGACTGCAATGTCGTAGCGAAATAGATCGAGTTCACGGGCCAGTTCGACTGTCTTGGGCTTAATTGACTGGACATTAAGCGTGCATATCAGCAGGTCACCACCGCCAGCCGACCAGGCTCGTCCGCCCCGGGATCCGCGCTGCCGGTGACGGGAGCGCCGACCTCTGTGCGCGCGGCCACGGTGGGCAGCCGGGCGGGCGCGCCCGGCGGCCGGCAAGCCGGGGTCTGTCAACGCCCAAGCAGCGTCTGACAGCGACCCGTCAACCAGTGGTGACCGGTCAGCTGATCCGCCCGGGGCAGGACCACCGACACAGCGCCCGGTGAAGGTCAAGCATGTTCTAGGGCGCGCCGGCCGCCGCGCGCGAACCACACGCTCAACACCACGGTCGGGGTCGAGACCGCCCCAAACTGCAGAATGCAAGTGCACACGGCGACTGCGGTCACGAATCGGCCAGGGGTACGGCGCCGGTAAAGCGGCGGCAGCCAGAACCCGGACAACAGTCAGAAGGACGAGATAACGAGCCAGATCGCGGTGCATGGTGGCAGCTAACCGGCCTGGTGTCGAAGAATGAAGTGATGTTGCAACTCGTTGATATGTTGCAGACCTCAGTAGGTATCCAGACCCGTACGAGGCAGGTCATGCAGGCAGATAAGGCAACTGCCACGCGACTTGCGCCACCACACCACCCACACAAACACCCCACCCAGGCAACGGGAAAACAGATGGGAGAGCCGCACAGGGCGGCGCGTCCGCACAGGGCGACGCGCACAGCCGGACTCCGGACTCTCTCTCTCTCTCTCTCTCTCTCTCTCTCTCTCTCTCTCTCTCTCTCTCTCTCTCTCTCTCTCTCTCTCTCTCTCTCTCTCTCTCTCTCTCCTGTCTCTTCCTCTCTGAACAGCGTTGGTGTAAGTGTACGTTAATACAAACACGTCACGTACAACATTCACCATCCTAGCGTCAGCCAGGAGGTGGAATTTTGGCCTCCGCGGCGACGCCAATGCCCACACGCCTTTTGGTAAGTGGGTCGAGTGTCACGGGCAGGACACCGCTCTCCCGAGGGAAGCTATGTGACACACCAGAGCTGGTCCGTCGGATTGCCCAGGGATATCGCGAGCATGATGCAGGACCGGCCGAATATGGCGGCATAAAAGTAAAGGGGAAGTACAGGTAATATCCCAATAAATTGGGTGTGCTACTGACTAGATTAACTTAAAAGTCGCAGCACAAATGTCAAAATGACCTGGCAGAGATGCTACAGCATTGTGACACGTTTCTGCCGTTTACGTGCACTGCGAACAAATACAGCTGGGGCGCTCACAATTTGGTGATTTCTGGCTCGATGTCACTAGGGGGTGTTGTCAGGTCCAGGCCAGTGCAGTTGATTGCCACATCTTGGCACTGACAGCGGTGATCTTCTGAGCAGTTAAATGCTGGAAAAGAGACCCACATGATCACGTGACATTCACCGATAAGAAATAACAAGGCCTTTGAAATACGCATTGAGGCTACGTATGCAGCCACGAAACGTTTCTTATAGGTATCTTGATAAAATACGTCTACAGCGTCCCAAGCATGCACAGCATCCTTACTCAATATCTGTACAGTGCGCCTACAAAAACAAGTCTATCCATGTGCTGAGGCCGTGTGACGGCCGACTGCCCACGCAATACGGTTCTGTAATCGGCACAGTCAGGCCAGGCGGAGACTATTTATGCCGCCTATCTGGGGCCGTGCGTTGGCGAGCTGGGCGAGTGATTACCGCCCTAGGTGGTCTGGATTCCAGAGCCGGAGCCAGAGGCCGAGCTCCGCCGGCTCTGATAGGAAAACGACTGAAAAAGTCGCAAAAATACACCAGCAATGGTGCATAAACTGACGTAGATGTCAGAAGAAATGGTGGAACGCATTATGGGACGTGCAAAATCCTCCTATAAGCCTTTTGGGACGCGTAAACCTTTGTGCGGACGTCAAATGTTAACGACTTGAGTCGATCCGAAAATGAAAAAAAATCACTACAATGCTTGTAGCTCCGGCTCGCTGGATGTACATAGATAAGGCATGTATCGTGTCGCCAAACGATAAGCATTTTATTTTTACATTGCATGAAATACAAAGAAGAAATTCATTACCAGTTGTTGAGATTATTGGCCAGGTTGTTATATAGAAATGCAAATGCATTCAAAATATGCATTTATAATAGCAAGCAAGCCAGAGCATCTGAGGCAATTCTGCTGTGAATGCAGCCCAACTGTGCTCATGCAATGTTAAAATTAGTGACTTCATTTCCAGTCTTGAATATGTTTTTCTTACTATTACTATTACTATTACTATTACTAATATGTTTTTCTTACTATTACTTACTATTACTATTTTTTCTTACTATTTATTTACTTACTGCTTCATTTCCATTCAAAACAACTTTCCCATAATGAACATTGAACACCCTGTCGATTCAGCACAAAAGGCACATTTGGGAGCATTAAAAGCTTATACAGTCTCGTTGAATCACAGAAGCTGAAGTCGCCCTCCCCAACCCCCCACCCCCACCCTCCCGAAAGAGGAGCCAGCTGCCCCTCCTACTCCTTTCTCAGTTGCCCATAACATCATGGAATAACACATCTTACTTCTCGCCCTCCTGACAACCAAATGAGAATTTGGTGGCACTTCTCCTCACTTCCCCCAGCACCCAAGGAGCTAACACCCTCCCCTACACCAGATGGGGGTGCAGGGAGAGTGTTACTCACTGCATTTGTCGGCTACTCACTGCACTGGTCCTCGTCACTCCAGCTGAGCGGGCAGTCGATCCCATTGTGACACACCAGACTGCGGTTCAGGCACGGGCCGTTGAAACACTTGAAATCGGTGCTGGCGCACTGCCATTCGCCTGTAGAGTGTAGAACAGAGTAGCTGTTCAGTATGGGGCCGGTGAGACAAACTAGCTATTGAGCTATCGTAAATGATAATAACAGCTGGCATGCTGCAAACTCAAGATGCAATATTCTTCAATAAAACAACTTAACGAAAAACGATGTCCAATAACTCTACGCAAAATATATTACCTACTTTGACAAAAAAGCAAACAATTTTTCTTCATCGGCATGAGAAATCGCACCTCCCACATGCCATCCAAT